GGCTTCTAAATAAGCATATGTTTCGCCAATTGTAAATTTAGGAATTTGTAATTTTCCAACAAACGCATAAAAAGGTATGATTTACCCAATTTTTTTTAGAAATAATACCGGAAAATCAATTTTTGTTAATTTTGTTCATACTTCATTAGAGTCATCAATCTTGGTTAAAAAAAATAATAGTAAATAACTCTTTTAATGATTTTTAATCAATATTCACTTCAAAAAAGCTGATTATATTCAAAATATTTTATTTTGGGGGGCCTGCAAATGGGCCATCCTGCCCAGAAATAATGTCCCAGCCTCAATTTTTCATCATATCGAATTGCATGATGCAGGCGAAACCGCCGAGAGCGTTTCCCTTATTTTTAAGGTGATCCAGCGGTCGAGTGGATACGTCGCCGGACTGTCGATCACAAGGTCCGCGGTTCGAGTCCCGCCGCCGCACTAATGTCCTTTGGCAAGACATTGATCTACATTTACCACACTCAACCCAGGTGATGTACATGGGTACCTGGTAGGAATTTATTCCTTGAAATGCAAGAGCACATCGTCAATCCTTCGGACTGCAGTATCGGCACAAGGTACTTTAGCCCCGCGCTATAATGCGCTTGATCCAGATCAGCTGGTAGCTAATCGGCTCGGATTATAAAGAAGGGATATTAAACAAACATACCAAGCATTTAGTTCGAAAGAATAGTGGAAATTATTTATCTGAGGAGGGACTGGCATAGTACTATTTTTTCCGAGGGGAATTTATCACTCATCAACAAAATTACACAGTAAAGGTGGACACGATGTAAAGCTGAAAATAACTGTCAAATGATCCTCTTAGTCCGAATCAGCATGATAATTTAATGCTTGTTAGTTACTTGTTAAGTGACCACAATATTGTAAAGTAACAAACGTGACATTTACTTTGGTAACAAATTAATTAATTTGCTCTTTTTGCTTGTTTCACTTTGTATATCATCTTTTGCCCACCTATCATTATTGTTACGTCTTTCACCATTGCAACCACTTCAGTCAAATATTATTTTGTATTAAGGGGAACCTATAATCTGCAAGCTAAGCTTCTTAATAGGTTCCTTACATTTCACTCTGTAAAACCTACCTTTTAATACAATTAATTTCAGACTTGATTATATGAAATCATACCTTGAGTATATTTTATATTATGTTCAAATTTCGTCATCTACCGGTATGTGAAATTCTGTTTTGTGAAATGTGAAACAAATAAACTTGAAAACACTTTAGAATACGTGGCACATATAACAAATCTGGAAAATCATCCTAACAGTGAAACAATGCCAGCAATTCTTAGTGGGGGGGGGGGGGGGGGCAAGCTATGCACCTCCTTCTCAAACGCACAGGAGTCAAGTAATTTAGTGTTTAGGTGAATTTACTTAGTCTCTATTGATTTAACCTATTCTGAACTGGAATTGTTGAAATATTAATAACGCATATTCTCGAGTCGCTAATAATGTTAGTTTAAAATCTTCTTCGACCAAATTAAGCTTCCCACTTGAATATAATTAATGAGTGTCAATATCTAATTGTGGCTGAGCAATGAACATGTATTAAACTTTCAACACGGTTTCACATTAATAATGACAAGGAATGTACATGAACGAACATTTCTAACTTAATAATTGTGGGGCTAAATCGATGATATATTAGTCATTTACCTCTATGACAATGACTGACAAGAAATACAATGACATTGAAAATGATATTGACGTTTTATTTTCTTATGACACCCGAACCATAATTAAAGAAAACAGCTACAAAACATCAATTCACAGATACAGTGAAACCTGGCTGTTCAGATTTGTACGACCGGGTAATAGTTCCTTTAGTACATGTATCAATGAGAAACCATTTTCAAGGGGGGGGGGGTGGTCTTTGTAGACAGGTAGTCTTTCTATACAGGTGGTCACAAAAGCAGGTTTGACTGTACATACATTATCAATTCATAGATATATAGCACAATACACTTACTGATGAAAAGTTGGATAAATTGTAGATCAGAAGATAAATAGATGAATAGATAGATATTAGTACATGTACATAGGCTACATCGTTTATAATCGTCATAAGAGAACAGGAAACTGCATTCTAGACAATTAATCTACTGGTATGACGTCACTAAGATTCTGAGCTTATTTAGCCTGTCTTCCTCCAAGAAAGCTTAAATTCATTGGAATTTAAATTCTATCAATAACATGATTACTCAGATCATCGACCATTAAGGTTTTAGAACTTTGGATGTTCATATCAAATGCTATTGTAAATTCTTCCAAAATCGGGGGGGGGGGGGTGTTTCACAAAGATCCTAAGTCGAACTTAACTCTAAGTTGGACTTAAATATTATGGAGAGCCATTTGTAGCCTTAAAATTAAATATAATACAAAGCGAAAATTCGAATATTTAGACTTTTTATAAATTCCGCATCAAGAACATTAAATCTCCTTGATAATAGAAAATATGAATGATTTGAATCAACATTTTATGCCTTTTAAAATATTTTTACAAAATATTAACAAAGTTACTAACAGCTTTCCATATTTTTTAAAGTCCAACTTAGAGATAAGTTCAACTTAGGATCTTTGTGAAACATTCCCCTGATCCTAGTCAGATCGTATATAACGTACGGCGGGTGGGCTTGAAGACGGTATAGATCCACCCATGAAAGTATTGATTCGATTAATTTTCCTCCAAAATATGGCATCTGTGAGACCTAATCTATATTTGATCGTGGCTCAAAACATCATAAGTGGTTTCATCCGAAAGGGAAGCTACAGTACCATAGCGATCACGGTCAAGTTCTGCTGCTTGGTAGGTCACGTGATGCAGATTACTCTCGAAAAGGCGTGACAGATACTTCACACTGAATGTAGAACCGAGACTGTCGGAAACATCGTCTTTGAGCTTGGAGATCACACCGCCTTCTTTAAGATCGTCCTCAACTGCAATGCAGTAGTACCCGTCGGTCCCAAACGACGAACGGTTCGTGGTCGATGTGTTGTTGGTTGTTGAATATCCTAAGGTGGAGGTATACGATTGGGTGCTCGCAGTGCATTCATAGAGATCCGTTTCTTCCTCTGAAGATGACGCTCGCTGTTTTGAAGAGCAAATCTCTGTAGCATACACTGGGGCATCACGATGACTTGTTGATGGCAATTGATGCCTCGTCATAGTCATCCTGTAATACCGACAATCATGGGAAGGAAATAAAATCATTTTCTTGGTGGACATGATTTTTCAAGACGTTTGGTGAAAGTTTCTAATTCTATCTAAACTGAAATGAAATATTTGTCTTATTTATATTCCCTTGCTAAGCCCTTTTCTGATGCCAATTTCCTGCAATAAAGACCACTGAACAAAATGTGTTCGAAAAAACGACCTCACGAACTTTAGGATAAATCCTCATTTATATCATTCCAGTTTTTCACCCGTTTACCGATTTATTTCAAGAATAGCTAAGAATTAGTACACTAATCACGCTCATGAAATTTCGCAAAAAAACAAAGTCAGGATATATTGGTCTTCAGATCAGTTTCTAAATGAAATGCCTACTCCTTGATCGTCATGCACTTCCATGCGGAATTCTGAAATATGGGATATAATAATACATTAACCAATAATTAACATTTCATTTGGTGATTTTCACAGTATGTTGCTCGTTTGCCAAGAGTGCAGATCGGCACGCAAAAAAGGCACGCAAAATGTTGCTTTGTGCGCCCGCCCCCCCCCCCCCCAAAAAAAAACAACAAACAAACAAAAACAAAAAAACGAGAAAATTATTTTAAAAAATCGGTCTTGATTAACTACAGGACAAGCTTTTAAATAATGTTATTATATTGTTTTGTTCTTCAGTGGAGTCTGGACACATCGAAATCATATCGAGGCCTATTATGACATAATGACCCCGTGAATAGAAATCACATGGCACAGGGAAATCAATTGGCAATGCATGCATGGCACATGAAGACTTAACCTAAATTCTGTTTAGTTCATGATTTTATAGACTTTTTCACTTTTAGTACAGCCCATACCTCCTACTCCAGCACATCAACATCATTCCCTACTTAAAGATTAATCTATTTCAAATTTTGTTTTGAAAAGTTATTTCTAATTATTACGAAAGTTTAGGCTTATCATTATTTCAGGGGTCCGCATTGTACAAGCCCTGCTTTTCAGTGGATCCCTACATTTTCATAGTAAAACACGATACATTCTCTTCTATAAGTCAATTATTGATTTGCAAAATGCATTATATTAATGAACATTGATTTCTGTGATTGATTTTTTTTGTCATAATTATTTATATTGAATGTTCTGTTGGAAATTAAAATAAAATTGAAACTGAAACCTATGTCTCTTGAACATTGCACATGAGGTCTAAAACTTTGCTCATATAAGAATTTATTTTCATAATGATACAAACTGTTTTACTAAAGTACACTGGAACATCAAAATCATCTCAAAGCCTTTGTTTTAATTACCCCATGAGAAATGCATTGCGTGTAAAAAACGAATTGTGTGGCACATGAGGTCTAAAACTTCGCTCATATAAGAGTTTATAATTATTCACAATGATACAAACTGTTTTTATTAAAGTACAGCCCTTACTTCCGTCTCTAGCACACTGGAAACATCAAAATCATCACGAAACTGCGTTTGTTTTAATGACCCCATTAGAAGAAAAAACAAGGAGACATGAGTTGTTCGGCATTATGAAGACTAAAACTCCGTTCATATAAGAATTTCTGTTCATGATGATATACTCTCTAAAAAAAATCGAGAGATCACGGACGTTACTCCTCTGGAGAATGAAAATGTAGTGAAAATAGAGTGAACATTCACTCTTTTCTTCTTAGAGAGCACTCTAAAATCAATCGATTTTCACTCCTAAACAAGTGATCACGGACGTCACTCCCAAGAAAGTGAATTTTCTTTTTTTTAAGAGAGTAAACTGTTTTACCTGCGACTCTTGCAGTAAATGACCAAAACTACAATGGCAAATGCAGTGACCAAGGGAGCAACGATGCACACCAAAACTCTTCTATTCCAATGGAATCGGTCCTCTGAAATAAGATTTAAGAACGATAATTTTTAAAACTAAAATGAAAAGATCAAATTTGCAACCTGCATATCTTTATCGGATTCAATCGAGACTTTACAATGAATATTATTACTTAAGTTTGACTTTAAGGTACGAATATTGAAACACCTATACAATAGCTTTTAAAGATTGAATGTTAGTCGATTTTTGTGTTAAAGGCCCAGGTCTGTCGTTTGACGGGTACACGAGTGTTAAAATAAGAAGGCAAATGTCTGACTACTTTTAGCAAACAATATTATTTTCGATATGAATATATTCAAATTGATGTAAATGATAAATGGGGGAGGAAAATATATGACCGCAACTTTTTTCGAAATATCAACTCATTAACAAGGGCAATTTCAATATCCTAGTGTATGTACCATAGAAACCATGTAGGGATTACGTAATATATCATTGCCATGTCGGTGTCACCGAAGGCTATTAACATTGCCTGGGGTTGATTTTTTTTAAGAGTTGTTGCTATCGTGTTATATAAGACTGATATTCCGACACATTTTTTTTTAATTGATAATAATAATAATAATAATAATAATAATTGATTCTTATTGAGCACTACTACAGACAAACTGATCAGAGCGCTATACAACAGAAAAGAAACATACAAATCATAACAATTAAACAAGGAACAGTAATTAAGATATTATGAACGAACAGAATTTTAGCTACTCAAAATGTACATTATGGATTCAAGATGGAAAGAGTTGGGTTTTAAGTTTCTTTTTGATAGCATATAATTATAGGCGTTGTGTCTTCATAATATTTCTTGTTCGCCTTAAAGGTAAAGACCAGTTATTTTCATGCGATTGCATTGTGAAAGAAACGTTGTGGAATCGTTCAGAAAAGGTTGATCATCTAGCATCTAGCATCTGCAAGGTTCTGGAATCATCAAAATGATAAGAAATTTGGCCCATTCTTCGTAAAGTTACAAGCACGTACACAGAAAGATGTATATGGGACTACCCTATATCTCTCACAGACCATGAGAGAAACAAATTTACCAAATATGAATTAGTAGGCGGTTTCCCGGCAAATTTTTTATCATCATGTATTAGTCAAAACATATTCTTTCACATGATTGGTAATGAGAGCTTCCATTTCATTTTTTGAAATTGGGGCGTTTCCAATACTGGTCTTTACCTTTAATCAATGATAATGTTTCTCAAGGGCTGAAATCGAGAAAAAATGATGATACTAAAAGTATATACACTGCCAAAGAAAAAGAGGGGCATAGCGTGAGTCCAGCAATTTAAGGGGCATTAGAGGGGAAGGGGGTACCTGTCTCAATGGTATATTGAGAGCGTAATCATTTCATTCGGAAGACCAAAGTAATTAAAAATGGCTTTCTTTTACGATTAGAGAATTATTCACCATTTTTGGAATCAAGTTCCCAACCTCCGTCACCATCATCTGCTAGTTTAATTCCACAAGAGCCGTTGTTAACGGAGCAGTTCCAACCTTTCCAACCGGCATCCATAGGAAGATAACAGATACAAAACCGTGTGAGTCCAAAATTATTTTACACCTAGAAATTGGTAAATTATTATACATCTTATGAAAGAGCCTTACACTAAAATGAAGAGCCTTTTATTTAGATACACAATACATTGCAAGTTTTCCTCATAAGTCATTAACAATGCTTAATGTGTAAAGAGACACAATTATTTAATTGCAGCTTGATTTCTTTCTGGTTGTAATTTAAAAAAAAATCATCATGAAGCCAAACCGAAGGACTTGTTATTATTAATTAAACGATATTTCTGACACCCCAGGCGCGTAGCCGGGGGGGGGGGGGGGGGTGACGGTGGTCGCCACTTAAAAAACCACGCCGGTGTGACCGCGTAGATTGTAACCCGCACCGATCGTCCGACTATTAGAGATCGATCGAGAGCGGACGATCGGTGCGGATTTTATCCGCGCAGAATGTCCGTGTCGGACATTCCGTGCGCGCCTCAAATGTCTGACGGACAATCTGTGCTGAAGAGGTCTCGCACCAATAGTCCTCCTGCCGCACCGAATGTCCGTACGCTAGTCCACACGTATACATAGTCAAAACAAACAGGGATGTACTCTCATATCCCTGATACAAGTATAATTATACTTAATGAATGAAACGACTGGATAACCCATATTCAGCTTAACCAGCTAGCTAGGGATGAAACTACAGGCAGTGGCGGATCTAGTAGGGGGGATGGGGGGGGGGGGGGGGGTGGTGCAAATTGTTAAAATTTCGAGGGCCAAAAAAAAAAAGGTGCTCACTACCCCCCCCCCCCCAAGATCGCGGAGAAAGGCCTTTGCCTCTGCCCCCCAGACCAACCCCCCCCCCCCCATTCTCGCCAAAAAAAAAAAGAGAGAAAGGAAATTAGGGAAAGAGGGGAGCTAAAATGGAACACAAAAGAGGTAGAAAAAAGAAAAGGGTGAAAAGAAGCAGAGATCAGTTGCGATTAATCCCATCAACATCGTGTGGATCGGGAGAGGGGGCGAAAGGCCCCTGCCTCCCTCAACAAACTTAAATGAGAGAGGGTGAGAGAAGTATGGGGGGGGGGGGGAAGAGGAAGAAGAAAGGTAGGGGAGATCAGTTACAATTTTTCTTTAAAGCAAAAAAGCCAGATATTAAAAGTTAATCATTTTTTCCAATTTTGGTGTGATAAAATAATTATTGTTGGTGTTGTTGATGTATTGGAAAGGGTTCCAAAGCACAATATGTCAATGGATTCCTCAAAAAAAGGGGAAAAAAGGGGCCTAGAGTGAGGGAGAGCAGTGCAGGAAAAAACTGTTAGGGAGCCCCTTTGGGGGGGGGGGGGCCCAGGCGCAGATCTAGGATTTGTTAGGGGGGCCCAATTTGAAATTATTCTAGCCAAATATTGGTACGTAATGTTGACACCGGCAGTGGCGAAATGAGCAAAAACGTTTGGGGGGGGGGGGGGTAGAAGAAAAAAACCCGCACCACCCACTTTTTATCCAGGCCTCGCTGAACGTTTCTCTAAGTAGGTTGGGGGAGTGGTATTTACGATAAGGCAGAGCGTAGCGTTTATTGGCGTGGGGTCTAGGGCCTTTTGGCCCCTCTGAACTACAACTTGTTGGCGGCAAAAATGCAACTGATATCCCGCTTCTTTCTTTTCTTCTTCCGTTTTTACCTCCCTTTATCTCTTCTTTCCTTTTTCTTTCCCTTTTCATCATTCTCTCTTATTTTGTAATGGGGGGGGGGGGTGACAGCTGGGATCCAAGACCCTTTCGGCCCTTGATCTGCTTCTTCCCCCCCCCCCTTTTTTTCCTTCTTCTTCCTCTTCCTCTTCTTTCTTTCCCTTTCTGTCCTCTTTCCCTTTCCCTTCTTTTCCTTCTCTCTCTCTCTTTTTTTTACGGGGGGGGGGGGGGGGGGCAAGGCCCTCCCGGCGCCCTGGATCCGCGTCTGCCTTTAGGGGGTATAGCTGCGCCTGCCCTCAGCTAGCTGAAAGTGTTAACAAATAAAAGCACAGTGTTAACAACTAAAAGTGAACCAGGTAATCGCAGTGAGGCAAAGTGGTCTTGTGGATAAGCAACCGCCTAGTAAGTGGAAGGTATCGGGTTCGATCCCGAGCTAGTGTATTTTGTTTTAAAGCCCAAAAGCCAGATATTAAAAGTTAATCATTTTTCCAAGTTTGGTGTAATAAAATAATTATTGTTGGTGTTGTTGATTGTTGATGTATGGGAAAGGGTTCCAATGCACAATATGACAATAGATTCCTCAAAAAAGCTTGAAAAGGGGCCTATGGTGAAGGGGGAGCAGCTGAGTGTAGGAAAAAGCTGTTAGGGAGCCCCTTTGGGGGGTCTTTTTTTTGGGGGGGGGTCTTTTTTTTTTTCTTTCTTGCTAGCTGGCGGCCGTCAGCGTAGCCGGTGGCCGGTAGCGTTAGCCCCAAAGCTATGTCCAATTTTTAAACTACATTCAAGAGTCCCTTATTGCCAGGTTAAACAAGTTTTTTACATTTTCAGTACTACTTTCTTCCTTTTATTCACTCTGTACACTCCCATGCTTTCCTTTTCCAGTCTGTAAACAACTTACAACATAAATTCAATGATGGGCAAGGTTTTACTTCTCATATGAAAGCGCCCAAACTTCGCGAGGTGAAACAAAGGGTCTTTCAATTCAAGTCTATTCAAGCCCAATATGGGCTAACAACTGGCCTGCATACCCGAGCAGAATCATTTTGTGCTCGACAAAGACACACAGCCTTGGGTAAAGAGGTCCAATATTATTAATTTTTTTTAGTTATATTTTTTCATTGACAGTATACTATTAAATATCAGGCATATTGGATGCTCTGTTTCAAATACAGTCCAGATTGCGCGCAATGAATTATCTCATGCTTCTTGTCCAAAAACCATATCTAACTGGTTTTTAAAACGGTATCATTTTAATTTCCATTTCCCAGCATTATTTTGAACTGTCTTGAACTGAAGTTGTTTTCCTTTCTTATATTTCGATACCATTACGTCATCAAAATAATGCAGTCATTGTTGCAATGTCAGGAATGCTATTATTACCTCTCATGTAATCCTCGCAATTGACAAAAATATTCCGTCAATGAAGGGAGGGTCGGGTTTTTTTCTTCAATTCATTAATTGATGCCATGTCAGAAAGAGCTGAATAATGTGTTACATAACTATTCAAACATTGCAGGTGCAAGCTATTGAACACGGAATCGAATAGCCAAGCTTCCCTATTCATTGGTGCCCTGTTATAGAATTCGTAGCATATCCTAAATGGAATAGATCCGTGTTCTGTTCATTATGCTATGTCAGGGCAGTGGCCTATTGTCATATCACTGGAAGTTTAAGTCAGCAGTTTGCAAAATAAATGAAAATAACATAAAACCTCACTATTATATTAGAAATATCAGTAACTGAAAGAAAACATTTACGGGCAATCTTGACAACATCGGACTGCAAAAAATATGAATAATTATGCATCCCGAAATCGTTGAATCAGTAAATCAACATATTAAAGTCATTAACATGCAGAAAGTGCTATAAGACCAAGAAGCGAACCAGTTAGTAGCATTGAGGCAAAGTGGTCTTGTCGATAAGACTGATCGCTTCACAATGCAATGTATGTATGTACTCGGGTTCGACTCCCAGCTTCTTCTTTATACCTCATGTTATTATTTTTTTCTTTACCCCATGATATTGACGTGTCCATCTCCTTTTTAAAGGGGACACCCCCCCCCCCACCTCCTCAACAAAGGAGAAAATAACATTTGATACTCTTTTCTTTAACAAGCGACTCTCTGAATTAGTTAGAATACCTCTTCTGCTACATCTACAACAACAAGTATCAATATGAAAAAATACATGGAGATTACCACTGTGACACATTGGTCTAGTGGATAGGCAAACGCCTGGCAACTGGAAGGTATCGGGTTCGACTCCCAGCTAGTGCTTTTTTTTGGTATAAATCTTTGAAAACTGATGTTAAACCCATTTTTATCTCACTCAAAGAGTGATAAAATAATTATTGTTGGTAATGTTGATGTATGGGAAAGGGTTCCAAATCTCAAAATGTCAATGGATTCCTCAAAAAAAATTGAAAAAAGGGCCTATGGTGAGGGGGAGCAGCTGAGTGTAGGAAAAACTGTAAAGGAGCCCCTTTGGGGGTCTTTTTTTGGGGGGGGGGGGTCTTTTTTTTTTCTTTTTTTTGACGCGGTCGTCAGCTAGCTGGCGGTCGTCAGCGTAGCCGGCGGCCGGTAGCGTTAGCCCCAAAGCTATGTCCAATTTTTAAACTACATTCAAGAGTCCCTTATTGCCAGGTTAAACAAGTTTTTTACATTTTCAGTACTACTTTCTTCCTTTTATTCACTCTGTACACTCCCATGCTATCCTTTTCCAGTCTGTAAACAACTTTACAACATGAATTCAATGATGGGCAAGGTTTTACTTCTCATATGAAAGCGCCCAAACTTCGCGAGGTGAAACAAAGGGTCTTTCAATTCAAGTCTATTCAAGCCCAATATGGGCTAACAACTGGCCTGCATACCCGAGCAGAATCATTTTGTGCTCGACAAAGACACACAGCCTTGGGTAAAGAGGTCCAATATTATTAATTTTTTTTAGTTATATTTTTTCATTGACAGTATACTATTAAATATCAGGCATATTGGATGCTCTGTTTCAAATACAGTCCAGATTGCGCGCAATGAATTATATCATGCTTCTTGTCCAAAAACCATATCTAACTGGTTTTTAAAACGGTATCATTTTAATTTCCATTTCCCAGCATTATTTTGAACTGTCTTGAACTGAAGTTGTTTTCCTTTCTTATATTTCGATACCATTACGTCATCTTTCATACGCCTCCCCGGCATGCACCTCGAGCATTGTATACGTTTCTGTAGATCAATGTAAAGCGCTTAGAAAGCAATGTACCATACTTGGAACACAAGCCACCTCCAATCTCATATAGTGTAGTTGACGCAAATTAGGCTCCGTCTCATTTCATCTCTATCGGAGCTTCTGATACCGATTATGTCGAATTATGATGTTTGGTTATTTTGGCACATCTGCTCCTACTTCTATAATATCAAGTTTTGGTTATATGCCAGGCTTATGTTTAGGAATGTCACTAGACGTGAAAAACTAAATGAGAGAGAGAGAGAGAGGGGGGGGGGGGGGGGGGAGGGGGCGAGTTAGAGCGCGAGAGCATTATCACAATCTTTATTCCTAGATCGTGTAAGGGATTTCCTGACTACTTGCATATTTTGTAATGTTACTCATTTTTACATAAAGTTTTCACAATCTTTACTCTTTACCAATATATCAGATATAATCTTTATTATAAAGTACCGAAATGTCACGTCATACTGGCCAAGTTATCAAGGTTGCTGGTTCCAAACAATCTTGTTCTAAACAATAGTGTGATGATCACACAAGCCCCATACCTAGTATGTTTCATTTTTAAGAACTTCAGTTAGTGATCTCGCTCATTAATTATTAACTCCATAATATCTCCTAGCATGATTTTATTTAAAATTGCCTAGCACCCCTCCATTGAGCCTTAGAGATATTAGCTCCATCTATCTCCTAGCATGATTTCATTTAAACTTGCACTAACTACACCCAGCCTAGCACCCTCTCGATCTAGCCTAGCACCCCTTCCATTGAGACTTAGAGATATTAGCTCCATCTATCCCCTAGCATGATTTCATTTAAACTTGCACTAACTACATCCAGCCTAGCACCCTCTCCATCTAGCCTAGCACCCCCTCCATTGAGCCTTAGAAATATTAACTCCATTTCCTAGCTAGTTTGCCATTAATGCTACACTGTAAAAAAATAATAGTCGAAATAACTCAATAAAATTGAGGAAAAGAATTGCCTTATTTTTATTAAGTAAATATTACCTACGGCATCTTAAGTAGAATTTACTTATTTTGCTGAATAAATTTTTACTCAGTTAAATCGAGTTACATTAACGTAAATAATTTAAGTATTGTAATCATTTTGGATAATTAAAAAAAAGCTATGATAGGATTACATATTGCACGATTTGGTACCCATCTAATCTAGCAAGTAACATCCACTAATCATTCACTACTTCTATTTAAGATTAATCACTAATCACTAACACTACTTCTATAATTATAAGATTTAATCGTATATATATATATATATCTACCACCATCACAAACTATTACATACGCTTCAATTCGACACATATTGAAAGGCTCCAAATTTTTGACAATTTCCTGAAATATCAAGTTTTGATTTGTTTTGAACTGGGTAACAATTAAAAATTGTCTTGTCTTTGCTTAGCCATGTTAAATGAATTAGTAAATGTTTTAAAGTCCTTAAATTTTCATTCAACCACAAAAAAAGAATTGTTTTATTTAAAAAAGAGTTTAATTTGGTCTTAATGAATATTCATAAATTATGTAAATATTTCTATTACGCACTGCATCGGTCCTTACTTTAAAAAGATAAGAATAATCAACATAAATTGTTTGAGTAATACGTATAATTTCTGATTTTGAGTTAAAATTACTAAATTAATACAAGCTGAAATTACTTAAAGTTCTTATGTATTTGATTTTACTTAAATATTCCACGTATGTTCTACTAAATTGAAAGTTTGAGTTAGCAAGACTTAAATTTAGTGCGTAAGTGGCAAAACTAATGTTTTCAAGTAAATTCTACATGGAAAAAATACGTAAAAATTACCAATGAACAAATTCTTTTTTACAGTGTAGTTTTCAAAACTAATTTATGTATAATACTGTTACTTTCAAGTTGCCTTTGATACCAGGTAAGGAAGTAATGTTCGATAATGTCAAAGTCTTCTGCGTCCCAGAAAAAAACCCTGAGAATTATCGATGTTTTATCATAACTTAATCAGGGGGAGGTGGTGGTGAGCACTAATTTGTACGGGTGTAGCTACGATGTTGACTAAGTTAACGAAATAAATCTTAATATATTCATGTTGTCGTGGAAAATGACCAATTGCCCATATCGCAAGTAGGCCTACTATACAGTGCGTCCCAGAAAAAACGAAACCGAGAATTAATCACAGTTATAATTAATAAATGACATATATTTGTAAAGCATAGATCCTCCTCTTTCATTTGATGTAACTCATATGATGCATATTTCACGCACGAGTGATTAAAACAAATTGAAGAGAGGGTACCAAAAAGTCATTTGGCGGGCGTTATCTGAATTTCAAAGAGAAAATCACATTTCTAGAAAGTTTATTTTCTGCCCTTTCATACGACACCTCAATCAGGAATAACAAAGTTCTGTTTGTTTAAATTAATGCTTGCATTTCCATAATTTGATGAAACGAATTGGTTTTTAATGGTTGCCTGCCATAGCAACGAGCAGACTTGACAAAAGACTTAACTCCGTTTCGTTGACAATCAGCCATGCACAAAGAGGACGAAAGAGCCCCCAGAAGCTTAGGGATTTTGGGCATTAAATTTCCATCAGATTAGCATCCAGTGGACCGCCTTAGGGCAAGCGAATCACTTAAAGAGCGCGCGTGGGGGAGGGGATGGGTGAAAGGCCAAGCGCGGTAACTTAGAAGTTTCATTAAATTATTTTCAAAAGAAGACGATTTGTTGTACCGTTCTCGACTCTTGGTGATGATGGTGATGATTGGTTGATTTAAACGACAATATAGTTATCACATGAATGATGCATATTTCTGAAGATATCCTTTTTTTTAAAAATCGAAATCTTGTATAACAATGAATCAAATATAATTTTTTTCAAATTCAAACAAGGATTAAGACCCTAGAACGAATCGTCTTCGCTCTCTAACAATTTAATGAATCGTCAAAGCTTCCGCGTTTCGCAAAAGGAGGGGAACTCCCCCCTCCGCATCCCCCCCCCCCCCCCCCCCTAGGCAGCGCACGAGTAAGAGTAAATTTTCTAGGCCTACTAAATATCTCCCTATATACCTCATTTGAAAAATCTGAAAATCCCCGTCCATCGTGAATCTTCAAAATAAATAAATGGTGTAGCTTTTTTATAAAATATTTATAAAAACCTTCCTCGATAACAAATCTCTGAGGAGCCCCACAGTACAACTAACCCGCATGAAAATATCATAATCTTTTACATCCACTAAAGTAGAGGTATCCCTTTTTTTTGCTTTTCAAAACAGCTTCCCCAATATTCGATACATCAACAATTTTGTTACCTTTTAACCCTAAATGTTAAAAATGACATATTGACTGAATTCCAAATATTATTAGAAATAAATTGGTTATTTCTTTTCTTCAAAATTACTACAACCTTATAACTCTTCCCATGCTTTTATCATGTCTAAATAGAACCTAGATACTTTGAAACTGAATAACTTACAGCCATAGTTACACAAGGAAAAAAAATCTACCTCCTACCATCTTGAAGCAGAAATCAAAGTGTAGCTTCCATCTCATTGAATTTTCTCCGTACAATAGTCTTTTACACATTACACGTTGGTTTTTACAAACGAGTCAAAATTAGTCATTCGTAATCCCTTTTCATTACACGTTGGTTTTTACAAACGAGTCGAAATTAGTCATTCGTAGTCCCCCTTCATTACACGTTGGTTTTTTACAAACGAGTCAAAATTAGTCATTCGTAATCCCCCTTCACTACACGTTGGTTTTTTTTTTTACAAACGAGTCAAAATTAGTCATTCGTAATCCCCCTTCATTATAACCTTGATACAATATTAATCTCTTAATTCGATCTTTCCCATTCCAAATAAATTAAAAACCTATTTTCTGTATTTCCGATATGACCCACTTTGGAGCCACTAGTAAAGCAAAAACGTAATTTAATACATACACGCCCCCTTCACCCCTTGCCCAAACACACACTCACAAAACAAAAAACAATGCCATACAATTTATGTCTCGATCTCCCTCCCATACACCCAAACCCAAACGGACACACACCCTTTCTCTCTAGTTCTCTTTCCCCTTCCTTCTCTCGTCTTTCTCCCTCTCACAAACTCTCACACACGCACACACAAAAAACACACACACACACATCCGTACAAACACATACAAGCGCGCACAAAATCAGTGTTCGTTGATATTTGATATTTGATACGTGTAGCATGATTATTTTGTTAGGGATGTTATTTGGATCTGCAATGACCGAATTAATACCCGAATCCCAATTGTTTTATTCAACCGTCACATTAGCAACTTTGGCTCAAGACGATTTTTATACTCTCGCAAACCATGCCTCCTTTTCATCCATGCGTGAATCCCACACAAAAATGGTACTAAATGATTCGGGATGCACTCTTTCATAAGATGTATAATAATTTACTGTTCATAGATTATTTTTTAAATAATTAGCAATTTTCTACAGTGTAAATACTTCTTTGTATTCTTGGTAATGTATGTGACAACAAAATGATAACCAAATACCTTGCACTCACTTGGAATAGACTCTTGAGCATCGGTTGCATAGAAAAGGAGCATACATATCGAAAATGAAACAATATTCAACTTAGGCTTTCCGGTTTTCTTTGTAATTTAGAACAACTCTTTAATCCGAAGGCTAGCATTGTCCTCATCAGAAATACATGTAAATCCAAAGAAATCCGTTCACCTTACCCGAACAAAGTTGCTCCAGAATAACGTTTAAAACAATATCCAGTACTATTATGAACTAGAAAACTAAATGGGTTCTCTTTTTTTCACACAATAAATTATAGAACTTGATTTCAGTTTTGCTTTCGTGATAAATCATAATTATGGTATAGGCCTGTTATTTGTAAATACTTGTATCACACCATTTCTGTTTTCAAAATAAATGATTTAGAAGACACAGAGAGCATTATTGATGTGACAATTAGAGTTTCAGTTTTGCCCTATTTGATTAAGTTCGAACTTAATAACAATTAGTATAAGGAAAAAGTCAGGAATATTAATTACTGAATGAGGGGAATACCATAATTAAGTAACACTTGTAAACTCTTCACAATAACGTTAGTGTACCAGTCACCTGATGAGGTATAATTTGTGTGCAGCTAGAATGTATCAGATCGCCGACAAAAATGACATCACATGACATTATATAGGTTAGTGAATAAGGAGTATGAAAAAAAGTAGAACAACGTACGGGCCAATACATCACCGGACAATGCATGGTTTGATTACAGTGTCTCTGTCTAAATCCCCTAGGTACATGTTTTTCAGTCACGTATCAGGACAATTACCCCTTGGACAATCATCCCCGGCCAATTAACAACGGGACATCCCCCAAAGAATTACCTTTCGGTAAATTAACCCCCCGGTAAATCCCCCCGGTAAATTCCCCCCGGTAAATTACCCCCCGGTAAATTACCCACCTGGAAACTACTCCCAAGGACATTATTAAAGTGAAGGCTACCTTGATAATAAGTTTGTTTCAAATTTTTCGGCGGGTAATTGTCGTCGGGGGGGGGGGGGGTAATCTGTATCTGTCACCAATCTGGTTGTCGCGTACGTAGGGTTAGGGTCAAACGCCAAACATGCCTAAATTTTGAGGTGGGCTTCAAAATGATTTTCCAAGGTGGGAATAAGGGGGTAGTTGTCCTCGGGCCCGGGATAATTGCCCTCGGGGAGTGGTGTGATCGTCCGAGGAGCTAATTTTAAGGGGGTAATTGTCTTCGTGTGTTAATTTTCCTTGGGGATTGTCCTGGGGGGCCGGGGGTAATTCTTGGGGGAATTGTCCCGTTGGTAATAGGCTGGGGATGATTGTCCAGGGGGTAATTTTCCTAGAACCTCCAGTGGCACCACCCTATGTACTTATACTAATAGCTAGTCCTCTTTAATAATAATGATGATGATGATAATAATAATGATAATAATAAATAACAATAATAACAATAATAAAAGAAAATATCAATAATTTTTCCGACTTCTACGCAATCGTACATTTTCATTATTGTTATAAGTCCATTTATTTTCTTATATTATTCCACTTTGTAAAAACGATTTATATCCGTGTTTCCATCTGACTATACGTCATTGTAACTATGCTAGTGTATTATCTATTTGTGTATAATATTTTCTGTTGTAAATTGTTCATGTGCTCTATGTAATGCCAACAACTAAAATTAATCTGAATTTCTGAATCTGAAATTAATTTTGTTCAATATGTGCATGTATGGGAGGGGGTTGGGGTGGGAGAGGGTTCCGTAAAGTTAGTTCGGATACAGTTCTAACGCGTAGATTCATGCAAGGTGTATTTAACTCGGATACTTGCATGTGTATTGCGACACGCCGACACACACATACACTCACAAGCAGCCGTAGGAGGAATCTTTGCTTCGCCCGTTTCCTGATTTTGAAATTGTTACATCATGGGGAAAACCAGGAAGAAATGTAAGTACTAATCAATTAATGTTCGAAATAGAATTTAACATTAGGAATGTTGACGACAATAATTGCCTTTGTAATAATTAATCGATGATTACGGGAGCGCAAAATATTACCACAGTCCCACTCGTTTCGAAATTTGGGTGTTGAAATCTGTGAAAATTATTCCATGAAGTAGGGAGGCCAACACCCGGGCGTACGATTTGTGCGCTCGTCGTCCAATTCAGAAAATTGCCAGAAAGAAAAACAAAAGAAAAATATATAACAAAAATACAATTGAATTAGATCTAGACCTAGATTAGGGAGGCCAATGACCAAATCTAACCTTTTAATTACGAATTTGTCTAAAATAAAACAAAGATTAAAAGAAAGCATTTTCTTTCACTAAGTAAGACAATTCACCCATCTGCCGACTCCAGAATTTCCATAAAATAGGAGATATCCAGCTCTCTTCTATGCCTTTCCTTCTATGCCTGGCCGTACATAAGAGCCTTGAAACAATCAATTTCATGGTCCCAAAAATTATGTTGAGAATTAGACAGGCCCGAGGGAATAGGCGTGTCATCATGGTCATTGCCCGGACAACAAGTTCAAAACTTCGCTCGAAAGTACATTCATCATCACCGGCTAGCCTTGAATTAGTCACACACACCGACACAGTACTGCAGGCCAGGTATGGTAATTGCATGCAAGCCGCGATCGAGCCATGCTAGCCATGACATGGAGGGTCAAACATAATAGTAGGGTGTCTGAACGATTTTTTAATTTTCAATTTGGGATCGTTTTTCACCATTTTTGTTTGATATTTGAATAAAAAATGTTATCAGAATAATACATTTCAAATTTCAAGTCTCACCGATGTTTCTATCAAAAGTTACAGCCCCTCCAAAATGCTGGTATATTCATATCATTTTGGTCAAAATCGAGGAAAAGACGTCCACGCAGAGTGATGTTGTTTTGCTAAATTTAGCCAAACAGCTGTATCGCGCGATATGCAAGCGTATGCATATCGTACGCATGCTGCTAAGCCAATCCGCGACTTGCAGCTTGAGCTACGCTGTCTCCGCGACATGTGCGATTGACTAGTATGGTTGGCGTTCGTCGCACAATAAACCCGGAAGTGAATGCACGTTATAGTCAATGGCAATATCGCGGAGACACGTTGTCTCCGCGATATTGCCATTGACTATAACGTGTATTCACTTCCGGGTTTATCGAGGGAATTGCCAACCATAATTTCAGTCACTATAATGTGTAATTGAATTTGGGGTTTCGTTCGTGCGCGGAGATGTTACGCGATGTAACCATGGTTTGGACTGAGCGGAGCGCACGCCCCTTAATTAGCTGATCCACCAAATAGCGAGAAGGGTATTTTTAAACTGTTATCAGTTGTGATCCCTGGGGGCTAGCGAAAATATAATCACATAGAATTGTTCCTTAGGACTGGGACTACTTATCGATCGGGCGTCATATCTCAAAAGTGACAAACCTCAGAGTTAGCCAGGACACAATGTTTAAATTGCTGTTTTGACCAAGATATGTTTAGAATTTCGGGGGCTACGCCCCTTTGGAAATATTGGAATTCACCTGCTCTTTCATATGACACCTCATTCATTGATTATCACCTTCAGGATCACAACTGATAAAGGTTTGAATCTCGATTTGAAAAAAAAAAATTGACTTTTTTTGCATGGTCGCGCAATGCACGTAGGCTGCATAGGGATGCGTGTAATCTCTATGGGAAGAATTTTAGCACACAACATCGGGTGCGCGATCAGACACCCTAATAATAGAGAGAAAGCTCGAAAGCCACTCATTGTAAATTAAGAAAGTGATTGAAATAAATAAATAGGCCTACCTTAGTTTTGAGATGTATTCCAATTACTATTTCCTCATGAGTAAAGATCAATCTGACACTGCATTATCAACGATCGATAAATCAAACTTGCAGTGAACACAATACGGAATCAAACATGGTCAATAGGACTGCACACATTGATAGACGTGTACTGACGGAGATATTTCTCTCCCTCTCTCTCTCTCACTAACCATATCATACACTAAAACACACACGTTCAAATCATGGCATTCATTACACTTCTCAATTGGAGTATAGATCTAGACTGCTCACATAGACTTTTTTTTTTTTACTGAAATGTCTTTTTTTACACTTCTCATACATTACTGCACGACACTGGTGTCTAGTGCTGAGAATAAGGTACTATGTGTGAGACTACGTCAAATTTGTTTTGCGCGCGATGAGACCGGAGCTCATACATATTCATATTATGATGTCGCAAGACTTCTATTTGGGGCTGGAACAATGACATCTCTGTTCACAGTTTTCCTTCTCAATTTGAGATGGCTCTAGCCAGGCGCGTACGCAGGATTTTTTCAAGGGGGGGGGGGGGGGTTTAACATTTATAAATTGGGCCGCAAATTTCGCAACTGCTCAGCCAGCCGCTGAATAAGCGGGGGGGGGGGGGGGGTAAGAGGACACTTTTTTTTTTTTTGAGGTCTCAAAATTTGACATTTGGCTCCGTTGAGGGGGGGGGGGAGGGGTAAGGTCACCTTTTTAGGGGGGGGGGGGGGGGGTAAGAGGACACTTTTTTTTTTTTTTGAGGTCTCAAAATTTGACATTTGGCTCCGTTTAGGGGGGGGGGGGAGGGGTAAGGTCACCTTTTTAGGTCAGCCATGGGAATATTTTTTTTTTTTTTTAATAATGAAAAGAAAAAAGAAAAAGAAAATCCAAAGGGGGGGGGGGGGTTTTAGGGGGGTAATGAAGGGTTTACACACATGAAAATACCAAAGGGGGAGTTTAATTTTTTGTCATCATATTTGGCACATTTTCCAAGCATTTTGATACCTTGTTCACCTTTTTCTGACCAGTAATAACGCAATGAGGGTCCGTTTCTTAAAAAATTTCAAAATTTTCAAAATTTTCTGGCGTTTGTCATGCAAACACTCGGAAAACATCTGAAAAACACCAGAAAATTGTGGAAAATGGGGTTTTTTTCCAAGAAAAATGACCCCTAATATCGGGTAGGGGTTTCAAGGCTCGAGCGGCACACCCCCGTCCAAACCAACTCCGAGTATCCCCCCTCCCCCCCCCCCCCGGGCATTAACATCACTCACCATGTTAATTTCAGTTTGTACATATACAAATTAATGTTGTGAATCGAGAAATATGTTTCAAATGCCATAATTGTCGTGAAACTTACAGCCCTTTTCTCCCGCCGTTGAATTTTCTCATGAATCTTAGTCTTAAACTGGATAGTCCCTTTTCCTTTACATGCACTGCGTTCAATGAGATTTTTTCATTACTGATTTGTTGTTTGCTTGTTTATTTTTTTGTGCAAAATTGCAGGTGTGTACACGTATTGCATGAGTGTTTTTTTTTTTTTTTTGGGGGGGGGGGGGGGGAGAAGACTACCTATGGCCCGCCAAGATATGCAAATCGTTAGATGTGGCCCGCGAGCTTTACAAGGTTGGCCACCCGTGCTCTAACTCTTCAGAATGGATGGGAACTCCAAATTGTTTTCATATTTGGATAGATTACGAGTTGGACATATGATTTCATGTCTCATTTTACCCTCAATTAACTCATGACGTCATCATAATGGCCTCCGAACTAAAAATTTCAATTTGCATATTATGACGTCAGCATATTTTTAGGAATTGATTGTATATCTGTAAATATTGATTGATTTTCTTCCAAATTTTGAAATGTTCTAGCTGAGACAATTCTCTACAAATGCAGTCCACACAATCTTTCATTTTGACCAAGGCATCATGGCGTATTTTTGCGATTAAAGGAGGCATGTTATTTTTTCACATTTCGCGTGTATTCTCGAAGGGACATGACTTTTTCTCAAAACTGGATTCTACATTCCTGTCTTTCGCGAGAAATATCTCCGTTGTTTTACCTTTGTTTTCGCTAAGCTTCAAGTATATTGTAGCTGAGACAATAAGCTTTCACAAGTGATAGTACGAGACCAGCCTGTAGGTCCCGTGACCAATCTCTGGGAACAAAGGTTTGAAAGTGTTTTTGTGTTCCCTGATGAATACCGAACAATTTTGACTTGGGCTGCCCCCTTATAAATCCCAGGTATTTTCGTGAGGGGTCAACAAAGGTCACACAGGGATAGAAATTCAAATAGTTCCAATCGTGTCATTATGCATATCAAATTACTTGTCTGGTCATGAGGATTCCAAAAATGTATAGTTTGCTATACCTCCAACCTTAAATGAGGGGGCTATGGTCAAAAATGTTGAAAGGTCAACACACTTTTGACTGGTGGTCAAATTCACCAACACAGTTAACCTTATCAAATTGCACATCAAATTACTCGTCTGGTCATAAGGATTTCAAAAATGTATAGTTTGCTATACCTCCGATCTTAAATGAGGGCGCTATGGTCAAAAAGGTCAATGCACTTTAGAAATTCACCAACACAGTAAACATTGTCCGATTATAATGATTTGAGGGTCTAATAATATGTTTTTTGACATGGCAAATTCAACTACCCGTATACAACTTTCAAAAGTAAAAGTACTTACCTTGACTACGTACATTCAAAATGGCTGCTGTTTCGGTGACAAACATCTAACAACTTCTTATCCATGGGTTTGGAGGAAATTTCAAGGTTATGGCAACCACTTTTAAGAGTGTCGCTATTCATATAATGAGGGTCACTAGGAGTAGAGGGTCGCTATTCATAATAGGAGAAGAGGGTCGCTGTTCAAAATGGAAGAAGAGGGTCGTTATTCATAATAGGAGTAGGGGTCGCTATTCATATATGTTTAGGCCAAATAACAAAAATAATGTGTTTTTCGTTGGGACTTTAATTTTTAAAAAGGAGGAGGCAGGGCATTACTATTTAATACTATTTTGCTTTATTTTTGCTATTTTTTCCAACATGGCTGCCATGCTAATTATAGCTGGCCAAGCCTATTTATTCACAGATATTGTGCTATGTGAGTATACTGATGCAATTTATGACAAAACATGATTTGTATCACTTTAGAAGCTATGTAAACCAAATGTATATCGCCAACTTTTTTTCTTCTGAAGTATTAGTAGTGAAAAAAGGAGGCGCGCCGGGACGAGAAACATTTTGTTATTTGGCCTTATATGTGAAGAAAAAAACGTTTAGTTATAATGTTATTTTTTGATTTGGTATACATGTACATGTGCCTTTTGTAACTAATATATTTGATGTTATATTCCACATACTAAGAATCTTGCTCTACGATTGGTCAAAAGTGAATCGTTACACTGTGTACTGCTTTCTTCAGTACTGCATGCACTGTACGTATCGTACACTGTTTGCTACATGTAGCTGTTAATGAACTGTTGCTCTAAACTGAAGGAAAAAATGAAATGTTTCCGATGTGGAATATGAAGCAAATAATCACCTTTTGGTTTCAGGTGATGGTTAACTATCACTTCCTCGGCTATCTGTATGTACTGTAGCTACATCCAGATCGCCTTGGAAGTGATAGCTTGTCCCATCAGCCTCACCAACAGTAATTATTTGCTCACTAACGCTTTTATATATATATATATTCTTTCAAATTAATCCCATCTAATGTATTTGTATATAAATCTTTTTCCACACACGTTGTATCTGCTCTAAGAAACGAAGCTATAAAAACGTTTCAGATTGTTAATATTTTTACCAATAATGTTACTTTCTCTTTCCTTCAGCAAACTTGTCCCATGCTGAGATGATGATGATGACTGTATCAGATATAGTCAGTCAGCTTGTCACTGCGCATGATCAAAACAAAGATGTCAATCTCAACAGGTGAGACTGTTTTTAGTATATTTGTAAAGCATTAAGTGCTATATAAAAATTAAATCTTATTATTTTTTTATTTTTTCTACCCAATATAGAGTGCTGAAGTGTGACTTCATCAAAAATCTATTTTTTGGATTTCTCAATTTTTTCTTCATTTTCCGAAAGAGCATCAAAAATAATGTCCAAATGTCGAAAACCAATTGAATAGGTTAAGTATTGGCTGAGATATGACCATCTGAATAAATAGATAGATAGTGTTATGCTCTGGTACATAACATTACGAGCCAGAGTAATATAACATTGAGTTCCTAAATTTGATTTCGATTTTCCAATCATAAATATCTTGATAATCAGAAAAATTATTGGCTTGTAAAAGTCATGGGGTTCCTGACTGACTTAAAGAGCTAAATCCAGGATTTCGTTAAAGAATCTGAGACGAAGTTACCTGATCCCTTTAATGAAAGTATTTGGAGACTAGACAGGAAGGCCAGGCCTAATGTAAAATCTCTCTCCAGTAAACTATAAAGTACATTATTTAAATTATTAATTTTTTTAAATTCTATGTTATCATCATCATCATCATTATCATCATCATTATGATAAGATCACTACCATTATTAACATCATTCCTGTGATGATGTAATTTTCTTTCTACTAGAATCAAGAGTTTGACTGCTAAGAAGTATGGTTTGACAAATCAACCGAGGCTGGTTGATATCATTGCAGCTGTACCCCATGCTCACAAGAAGGTAGGAAGGTCTCATTAGGCCTGTTTTCATCAGCTCAAGATTGCCAAATAGCCCGCTATTCTGATTTGGGAAATAATCCGAAGTTACAAATTGCGTCCTCATCAGCTCGATATCGACCACGAAACTTGAAACTCGACCTTGAGAAATTAGCTAGAGATATTTTGCTAAGCGTTCGTGCATGGTGCGAGTCTTCAGGCTGGTGAAGACGCAAAGGACAAATAGCGGGATATTTTGCAAACTATCCCAAGACATCTTGGGATGATTATCCCGACCAAATATCCCGCTAATTGCAACTTCGGGCTGATGAAGACGCAAACTAACTGGATAATTTGCGATCGGGATAGTTGAAATAGCTGGATATTTGGCAATCTCGAGCTGATGAGGACAGGCCTAATGTGTACAGTATGCGATCAACCAATAAATGCACTGTTACCAGGGCAGTGTTTCGCAAAGACTAAGATCGACTTTAAGTTGGACTAACTATGGCAGGCTGTTAATGCCAGATATATATGCCCAAATGTTTAATGTTAAAGTGCATTCGCGATATCTATCTAGCCTGGATCAATACGATAATTTACAAAATATATCAATTAGTAGGCGGTTTCCTTGCAAAATTTGTATCATCACATATTAGTCAAAACATATTCTTTCTCATGATTGGTAATAAGAGCTTCCATTTCATTTTTTGAGAGGGGGGCATTTTCACAACTGGTCTATACCTTTAACACTGAAGCATGAATCAAAGATATGTAGAGGTGTTGTGGTCGAGTGGATACGTCGCCGGACTGTCAATCACAAGGTCCGCGGTTTGAGTCCCGCCGCCGCAACAATGTCCTTTGGCAAGACATTGATCTACATTTGCCACACTCCACCCAGGTGAAGTAAATGGGTACCTGGTAGGAATTTATTCCTTGAAACGCAGTGCGCGTAACAGCTGCACTGCTAAAGCCAGGGTAATTATGCTGCATTATTGTAGAGCACTTAGAGACTTCTGATAAAGTAAGTGTTAGGTGCTATATAAGCAAGGATAAGCAAGGATAATTATTATTATTATTTTTATTATTTTTATTTTGTTTTGTGTCCACAGGCTCTTATACCCAAATTGAAAGCCAAACCGATCAGGACAGCCAGCGGGGTAAGTACTCAATGCTGCTGACTGTTGGACTGTAGATTTACTTGAAATACAAGAATAAATAAATAAACACTGTTTGTAGTTCAGGGCCGGTATTTAATTCAATACTTGAATTAAATTTAAAAAATTACTTAGTAAATGACTAAGCTAAGAATTTTACTTATCTCATATTCAAATCGCATTTTAGACTTGTTCTTACATTGTACCTTAGACAAAATCTAAGTATAATACATACTGAGAAGCATTGTGACATCACACGGTCAAATAACAGTAATGCGCAACTAATGCGTTGCAATAAATGTGCGCTAATATAATTGTGGGCAGGTTATGATACTGCGTTAGAAAACCATTGCCTGCCAATCTAGTCTAGGCCTCCAAATAATTGTGACCTTGACGGAAGAAATCTAAATGAATATTGTTTTCCCCTATAAAGTGTGTAAAAAGAGGTGTTGCTAAAGAGTTGATTTTGGGTTCTGCCCATAAATGTTAAATTTCTTCGAGCCATGTCGGCCGATCATGAACATTAATATTTTTGTGAATGTTGAACTTGAAACTTGAATGTTTATGCCTACATTTTTTCTTACACAGGTAGCTCTTGTAGCAGCAATCATGATACTGTTAATCTGTACATATTTTCCTCCTTACAGATAGCTGTTGTAGCAGTGATGTGTAAGCCCCATAGATGTCCTCATATTAGTATGACTGGTAACATCTGTGTGTACTGTCCTGGAGGGCCCGATTCTGATTTTGAATATTCAACTCAGTCATACACAGGATATGAGGTAATTACTCACATTATGAGAAAGTATTGTTTCATAAAAAAATTGCAGGTCTTGATTTAGAACTTTGGGGGTCACAGCCACTTTGATTCTGACATCCTTTAGCAAAACAAACACCATATCTGCCACTCTCCAACCAGGTGTCAAATAGGTACCTGGTAAGATGAGAAAGTCTTTCTAGTTTGCTCAGCATTGTGAGTGTCTTTAAAATGGCACCTGCTTAGATTGCTCCCCTGGGAGTGAAGAATGTGCATACATTTGTGTCTGGGTAAGCCTGAATTCAATGACCCAGGTAAAAATATATCTGTAAAGCTGCAATTAGAGACATCAGTCAGGTGTATTAAGCCCTGTATATACATGTACTGTACATGTCCCAGGATTAATATTATTATTATCAAAAAACAAAAACAAATTGTTGGCATATTCAGTCCTTGAGTAAATAATGCTTTTCCTTGGCCCTGTTACACAAAGCATAGCAATTAATTGTACGATTTATTGATTGATATAATGTACAATCAATTAATTGTACATGATGGTCAATTGCAAAATAGCAATCAATTGCCGACTTGTCTTTGTGTTACGAGGCCCTGGTAAAAAAAACAAATTTTGTCCATGATCTGTTCCTTTACATAGATGACATCGATGCAAGCAATCCATGCCAGAAACAACCCCTATACCTACAAACCTGCCATATAGTCGATCCATTGAAGAAGTTTTGTAGTGTTATTTATATTCATGTGCATACATACAAATGGTTCAAAACCAAGTTGATGTGCTAATGCCCTTTGGTAAGGCATTAATCCTCATTACCAGGTCCCTCGGAGAGGACCTAAGGCCATCGGCCGTCTGGTTGCTTACTTACAAGCATTCATGCTTTCTTAGCAGTCAAGTAAAAAATAACCACCAACCACCACTAACTACTAGAAAGGCATTCCCTGTGTGTTATAATAAATAAGTGAACACCCCTCAGGCTGCAAGCTTTCAGAACATTTCAGGTAACATCCAAAGCTCAATCAATTTTCTGTTTTGTGTTTAATAACCGATGTTATTGCGTACTATTCGTACCCAATAGTACCCCTGACTGCAAACCAGGCTTAAATTTAATCAGTTAAAACAGCTTCAGGCCTGATAAAAACCCGATTTAAATCGGTTTCCTGATTTTTTTCCTGATTTTTTTTTTTCTTCCTGATTTAAAAAAAAAATCCAGATTTTTTTTTTTTTTTTTTTTTTTTTTTAACAATTTTTTTCTTCCCTATTTTCCAGATTCCTTTCTTATTTTCTCTATTCTTCCCTATTTTTCCCTATTTTTTCCCCAATTTTCTCAATTTTGTCCCAATTTTCTTACTCGAAAGGGGGGAATGTTGTTAGATGCCATTTCCCCCCGCGAATCCTCTTCTTTTTTTTTACTCAAGGGGGGCGTGGTTGAGGGGAAAACAAAAAACCTATTTTTTTTTAGTGCTCACTATCACCCCTGCAGCTTAGTCATGCTCCCTCTATTCGTGTATTTCCATATATTTGCTTTCCGAACATCTCTATTTTGAGTAACAACTAAAGCTGAATTGATCTTTGTTTTGTTCCTGTTGAATAGCCAACATCGATGCGTGCTATACGTGCCCGATACAACCCCTACCTGCAAACCAGACATAGAGTAGACCAGTTAAAGCAGATTGGACACAGTGTTGATAAGGTGGAATTCATTGTCATGGGCGGGACCTTCATGGCACTGTCCGAGGAGTACCGGGACTATTTTATCCGCAATCTGCACGACGCCCTCTCTGGCCATACAAGCAACAGTGTGGAAGAGGCAGTCAAGTGAGTTTCACTTATCTTTTTTAATTTTTCAACCAAATTCCATACTATACATAGTTACACTGTTGATCATAATGGTGGAATAATTATTTTTACCCCAATTTATTGAATGATTTTGACAATGATTTATTCCTAATAGATCTAGATAAAAGTATACATTCTCAGATTTAATTGAATGATAATTGGGGAGTGTTTGTTTTGCGTGACTGCTAATTCATGTGTGTGCTACTATGCTAATCAACTAAGAGACCTACGTCCTTAAGTCATAACTGACATTAATGGGGATTAATGCCTCATAAGAGGGCACTAATATAGCACATCCACACGGTTTTGATCCTGGAGGCTCACAGTAACGAGGCCATTGCTTAGCCAATGAATCATGACTGCATGCAGCCGTCGCTAGGGTACGTCGACGCCCCCACAAAAACAAAAAAATCAAAGAAAATGCAATACATTTTCAATAATTCATTGCATTTCGCCCCGACCCCCAACAAAACAAAATCCTATATGTGGGCATGCCTTGAACCATAATACACGGCCCTACAGAGGAATTTTTCCTGTTTGGGATTGGGGGAAAATGCAATGAATCATTGATAATTTATTGTATTTTCTTTGTTTATTTTTTGTGTGGGGGCGTCGACGAACCCTAGCGCCTGCTGCGTACAGTCATGATGGGGCTCATCTGGGGCTCACATTGGGTACAAACTGCCTAAGGTGAAATAGCTTTCGGTTACATGTACACAGCAAGTCAAAGAAAAATATGATTATTTCTACATTATTTATATCTTATGAATATAATTTTTGGGGAAATGATCAGAAAAATACTAACCTTCCAATGATTTGTGCTCTTTATGTTTTTCTCTCTCAATTTAACAGGTTTTCTGAGAGGAGTAGGACCAAGTGTATTGGTATCACCATAGAGACCAGACCAGACTATTGCCTTAAGAGACATCTGAGGTTAGTGAGAAGTCTTTGCTGTTTGAACTGTTGAGTGAATACAAATTGCTCTGCATATCTCCCAATATGCCTAGCAGATGGGTATACGTCACCGGACTGTCGATCACAAGGTCCGCGGTTCGAGTCCTGCCGCAGCACTAATGTCCTTTGGCAAGACATTGATCTACATTTGCCACACTCAACCCAGGTGATGTAAATGGGTACCTGGCAGGAATTAATTCCTTGAAATGCTGGAGCGCTGTAATGGCAGCTAGGCTAAACCCGGGGTAATAATAAATGCACCTCGGAATAGAATGTCTAGATAGACGTCGTTATAGAAATGCCTATTATTATTATGGTAAGTGATTGTAAAATGAGTGGATATACAAATCTTTAAAAAAAAGTGTTTTACAGACATGTTCAATGCAATACTTATGTCAGAAATATGAGTATCTTACCTAGTTTTCAACTTAGATCAAATAATAATGTACCCTAAGTGTAGGACAGCTCCCTAGCAGACTAAGCCAATCATTTTGGAGGCCTTGATTGGCGCACATATGGTTTTTATCCAATTATTAGATTTCGCATTTAATACACAGCGTTAATTGTACATACTTTAGATAGACCATGTGATGTCAAAATACTTATCAGTAAGTATTTAGCCTTAAAGTCGACTTGCTTAAAGCCACACTGTACTACTTGTAGCTACTAGCTCCCTCTATATAGAAAACAATGCCTAATCGGTGACCATTGGTCACCCATGATCCTCTTTTTCTTATGTTAATTGAGAGCTGATTTGATGAGATAAACACCTGTCCAGTGACCTTGCAGGGTGGTCTAATCTCTCCTATAAACTAGTACAGATCAGCTTTAAGTAATAATTATAATAATAATATGGGATATTTACATATTGCACATATCCACCCTGCAAGGTGCTCAAGGCGCTCCAATATATTATTACCCCGGCTTTGCTAGGCTACCGATATCTGTGCTCACAGCATTCAAGGAATTCCTTCCTACCGGTACCCATTTAACACCTGGGTGTAGAATGGCAAACGTAGATTAATGCCTTACCAAAGGACATTAGTGCCGCGGCGGGACTCGAACTGCAGACTCTGTGATCCACAGTATATGCTCAGATATCATCTTTCAAATAAGAGTTTAAAGACATAACTTAGCCTAGTAAAATTGAAAGTGAAATACTAACTTGGTATTAGTACTGAATTGAGTATGGCCCCAGGTTTTAAGGTCACCATCTGAAAGATGTGACTCAGTTTCAAACCGGGGTCAGTCAGAGTCAGTTTGACGGGAAAGACAGAGAGCTAAGACCAGCTCACGTCATACCCTGTACTTGCTTAAAGACACTCAGTAGTTAGCTCTCATCGGGAATTCAACACCGTTCGGGTGTTTCACAAAGCCTTTTTTCTATGACAAATGACAAAAGTCAGTGAAAAATCTGCTGATAACTAATCAGAAGCAAGGATTTCAGTAGCTTATAACAAAAACTGTCATTTGTCACTGATGACAAGTTTTGTGAAACGGGGGCCCTGGTGTTTACCCAATAAACGGTGTTGTCAATCACCAGGATTAGCCCTGAGTTTTATGACCATTCGACCTCGTGTAATGCTTTGCTTTTCCCTCACCCGATCCGAAACGGGATCCGAAGCTAGACTCTCCGAGAGATACGGGGGTAATTCTTGACTGGCCAACGGGTTTGATGTGTGCAGATTTGTACTCCCATTAATGGTTTTCCCACCAAGTCTGGTGTCAGCGAATTATGGCCTTCTGCACATGGAAACTGACGCGTAACTCCCTTTAAAGACACAAACTTTTTTTTTTTTACAGTGACATGTTGAAGTATGGTTGTACCAGGCTTGAGATCGGTGTGCAGAGTGTGTATGAAGACGTAGCTAGAGACACAAACAGGTAAGCCTAGAAGATATGATGTGAATTATGAATTTAATTTAATCTGAATTGTGAATTTAATTTAACCTGAATTATGAATTGAATTGAATTAACTAGTCTGAATTATGAATTAATTTTAGTCTGCATTTTGAACTATAGCATTCTGTGCAATCTATGTTCAAGTCAAATGTACTATTCTATATCCATTGGTATCTTATTGATGTCCATAATCTGTAATTTTGTATTGTATTGACGTGGAAAAAAAAAAATCCAATAATTTGACAATAAAATTTGAATTAGTTCAATTGAATTGAAAACTATCATCAATCCATGGTACTTCTTCATTAATTAAAAAAAAATATGTATGCTAATAATAATAAATATGTATGTCCATTATTTATACCATATTACTCTACTGAGCTAAGATGCTGATCAACCATGATAAGACACTGAAACATTCAAGGAATTTCTTCCTATCAGGTCCCCATATAGTTCACCTGGATGGAGAGTGGCAAGTGTAGATTAACTTCTTGCCAAATGGCATTTTAGATAAAAGGATACTTTATAAGGTCCCTTCTTTATGTGCGTAGGTTCACCCAGTTCGATATGTCATTTGTAAATGTAATTGATTATTAGAACAGAAATAGTTGACATGAGTATTACCTTTTCCTTACTGAGTTTGAATAGTATTCTCCCCTTTTACCTCACGTTAAATTCCTTGCCAGATTTATAACACTTCATTGTCTTTCAAGACAAAATATCAGATACTATCTGTAGGTAGTGCAACCTGCACTCTTAAGGTTGATGAAGACCAGACATGCAATGCCTGTAGCTTCTGCATTGACAGCAGAATTGGATAGTGGAGCCATGTAAATCCTGTTCAGATATGAAAGCGTCGAGATAGAGCATGAGAGAGCGTTTTTCAGGACCAACTAACCCTGGCAAAAGAATATGTGGTGTAACGGCAAACCTCGTTCTCCCCCACCCCCCCCCCCCCCCCCCAAAAAAAAAAAAAAAAAAAAAAAATTGTTCTCCATGATTTTTGATTGCAGGGGTCACACTGTAAGGGCTGTCTGTGAGTCCTTTCAGATGTCCAAGGACGCTGGTTTCAAGGTCGTTTCTCATATGATGCCTGACCTTCCTAACGTTGACCTTGAGAGAGACGTTGAGCAGTTTATCGTTAGTACATTTGATTCACCTTTTATTCAAGATTCAGATTCAAGATTTTATTGTCCATACTATAATACAGAAATTTGTTTTCCATTGGTATAACATGTAATACATAAAACATAAGACAAGAACATGGTGTCGTGTGCTGAAAGCCAGAAGGGCGTCAAGACTCTATAAAGATAAAGTCTATGAGCAGGTACGGTCCTCCGGCTTTCAGCACAAAACATGACAAGACAGTAATATATGACTTATACATACCAAGAATTTTAAATACACTTCTGAATCACATCATGAATAAATTCAGGTATGAATATAGATGTGAATATGAAGGTAGAATAGGAGCAGCATCACAATCGAAATACAAGATGATAATAGTCCTCTGAATAACATATTGTTAGGATTTTTTTTTTAAAGAAATTTCTGGCTTGCACCAAGTAAATGAAGTTTGTGCGCTCGATCTTGTAATTGAAAACAAAGTCAGAAAATATCTTGGAACCATCCACTGCTTGCCTGGCAGCGACTCTACTACCAGGCCATCACTGGTCAACGGCACAGTCAGGATGAACTGGAAACAAATACCTCAGCTCTCCTGACTTATTCTGAGTTATTGATATTTTTGCAGGACCCAATATGAGTGGTTATGTGGACACATTACGGGCAAATCACAATATTCAAATTTAACAGGAGGCTCATGCATACAAACTCTAAACATTTCAGTCCAGACCCTATACAAAGGCATTAAAAGGTATAGACCAGTTTAGGAAACGTCCCCCTCTCAAAAAATGAATTGGAAGCTGTTATTACCAATCATGTGAAAGAATATGTTTTGACTAATACGTGATGATACAAATTTTGCAGGGAAACTGCCTACTAATTGATATATTTGGTAAATTATCATATCTATCTGGCTTGGATAGACATCGCGTAGTCCCATATACATCTTTCTGTGTACGGTACAGTGTTTTGCAGTACACACAAATACTTATATGCTAGATGATCAACCTTTTCTGATCGATTCCACAACCTTTCTTTCACAACGCAATCGCATGACCAGAACCGGTCTATACCTTTAATGTGAAACCCTGCCTGAGGTGCATGTAGATGTAGCTTCATGCTGAAGATGATCATAAACAAATATGTATCCAAAGTTGCAAGTCTTCTTTATGAGCTGGCCTAACCTAACCCTAACCGATATCACATATAAATATGGTCTAATCCTTGATTCATGCGTTTTTTTTATCATTCTGTTTCTTGTCAGGAATTTTTTGAGAACCCAGCCTTCCGACCGGATGGTCTGAAGCTCTACCCGACCCTAGTCATCAGAGGAACAGGTCTTTATGAACTCTGGAAGACTGGCCGCTACAAGAGCTATCCTCCAAGCACCCTGGTGGATCTGGTTGCTAAGATACTGGCCTTGGTGCCACCTTGGACCAGGGTCTACAGGGTTCAAAGGTCAGATTTTATGACTATCGCATATCTCAACATTTATCTGTAGCAGCATTAGTTTATGAAAGTATGTGCTAAATTTCAGATTACAAAACTCTGGTTTTCTCTCTATGGGTGAAAATTGAAGCCCTCATTATGTACACAAGAAATTGGGTGAATAAAACACTGTCGGTTGCATAATTCAAATTTGAAAAGAAATATGACTGTAACTATGCTAATAATGAATATTTTGCAACCGTCCTTTCAGAAAAGTTTTCGATTTTGATTTTTACAAGTTTTGAGATTTTCTAGTTTGACAGTGTAGCTCTTTGATCTATTGCAGGGATATCCCGATGCCTTTGGTCAGTTCTGGAGTGGAGCATGGTAACCTGAGAGAGTTAGCCCTAGCTAGGATGAGAGACCTAGGTACACAGTGTAGAGACGTGAGAACCAGGGAGGTTGGCATTCAAGAAATACATCACAAGGTCAAGCCATATGAGGTAAGACTTCATTCGATCCTCTGTCATAAAAGCAGGCCTGATAATTACCCGATTTAAATCATTTTTTTGAAGAAAAAAAATTCCTGATTTTTTTTTTCTTCCCAATTTTTTACTCTTCTTTTTTTTTTTTCCCCAATGTTTTTTTTCTTTTTCTTCTTCTTCCTGATTTTCTCCTGATTTTCCCTGATTTTCTCTATTCTTCCCTATTTTTCCCAATTTTCTTATTCAAAAGGGAGGGAATGTTGTTAGGGGGGGGCATGGTCAAGGGAACAAAAAAAAACTTTTTTTTTTTTTTTATTGCTTTCACCCTTGTAAAAGTAAAAAGCATGAATTCAGAGAGGGTTTTTACTAATGATTTTCTTTTATCTTTCAAAGTACCTTTCATTTGAATGGCAGGTGCTCAGCTGTGATCTGGCAAAAAACGTGTCATTTTCGACCTTTTTCAAGTTTTTAGATTTATGGATATATAAAACAATTTTGTCATCTGTCAAAATTTCAGTTTTTTTAAATCGATTTAGATTTTAAGAAAATTGCATCTAAAGTTCAGCAATTTTCCCATTTTGTTCCAAATAATCTGGCAGAACAACGTATGTCGACTTACGTTGTTTTACCAAAATATTTACGTCCCGATTAGAGATATCTTATTTTGCCAGATAGTTACGGCCTTGTTGGAAATTGTCAATTTATGAACAAAATGTTAATTATTTTTTGAAAACCACTATTATTTGGGTATGACTTCACATGGATCTTATCAGATTTCCCTTGATTTTAATTTGTTGTATGTTTTTATTTCTGTGATGTAAGAATCATTTTGTTTTGTGAAGATACTAGGTGTTTATAAGGCATTGATAACTTTTATGATTTATCAGAAAATGTGAGTTTAGATTTTTAACATCCAAGGCAATGTCTACAATTTACTTGTCTAAATTTGTGACCATGTTCTGGAATAAAGAAGATGCATGTTTTTGTTTTTTTGTAAACTTCTGTCAATTTACGAATGTGGAATGTGTTTTTACTGAATTTCACCTTGAGGAGCATTGTAGGCCAGTTGACTATGAATGACATTTGGTTTATTGACATAAATCTTTGTTTCTCAGTAATCCTTTAAGGGGGTAGCTCACTGAGCGGCACATGCTTCTAACGAATCAAATTTGGGGTTTCGCCAGGTTTCATAAAAGGTTACAAAAGAATTGTGGTTGCAAGAAAGTTCGCAAACTGATTTTCTTTGCGAATTTATTTTTCCGCAAACAGTTGCAAGCGTTTGCGAAACAGTCGTAAGCCTTTGCAAACGGTTGTAAGATGGTCTTGTTGAAGTTCTCTTATTTTCGCCAATGCTAGCAACCATGTTACCATACAGTTCCTATATAAAATTGACCCATTGAGTACCAGGAGTTAGCAAAAGGTCCCAAACATTCACAAATAGTGGCAAAGGATTGGAAAATAGTTGCTAATCTTCGCAAAAACTTGTGCTAACATTTGCTTACAGTCACTAATAGTCGCCAACTGCCTTTCGCAAATACTTTTGCAAACATTCGCTCAAATGTTGCTAATTGTCGCTAAAAATCACCAAAAATCTCTGATTTTCATCAACATTCTTTAGAAAAGTTGGCGAATCCAGTGAGAAACCCCCTTTAAAGATTACTTTCGGTATGAGGCTCACATGATGGAGGTTTTGTCAATGCACTGATAACTGAATATGATGTTGCTCTGGTCTATGCTCTAATGACCATTGACTCTAGGCTTTACGTTGTGGAAAATATAGGGTTGGGGTTAGGGTTGCAGTTAGGTTTTAGGTTAGGTTTTCGGTAAGGCTTTAGGTTAGGTTTTAGGTTAGGTTTCAGGTTAGGTTTTATCTTAGGTTTTAATTGAGGCTTTAGGTTAGGTTTTATCTTAGGTTAGGTTTTGGCTAGGACTTTAGGTTAGATTTTTAGGTTATTTTTTGGTTTAGATTTTAGGTTAGGCTTTAGGTTAGGTTTTAGGATAGGTTGTAGGTTAGGCTTTTAGGTTAGGTTTTGGGTTCTGTTTTAGGTTGTGTTTTGGGTTAGATTTTAGGTTTGTTTGTGTGTTAAGTTTTGGGTTAGGGTTTACCGATAATAGGCATAGTTTGTTTGTTCCATGGTTGAGGTTCAGAATCTTTAAATAAAGGATACTCACCACAATGCATCTAATATCTTTTGCCTTTTTCTTCCAGGTTGAGTTGATCCGGCGTGATTATTACTCCAGCAGTGGCTGGGAGACGTTCCTATCATACGAGGATCCAGAACAAGATATACTGATTGGCTTGCTCAGACTGAGAAAGTGCTCTGAACTCACGTTCAGGTCCGAGCTAAAAGGAGGCGTGTCAATCGTCAGAGAACTTCACGTGTATCCTTTTTATAACGATTATAATTTTAATTCATTATGGTTAATTAATGTGGTGGGGGTTATTATACCTGACTGCTAAGAAAGCATAAATGCTTGTAAGTAAGCAACCAGATGGCTGACGGCTTTAGGTCCTCCCCGAGGGACCTGGTAATGAGGATTAATGTCTTACCAAAGGGCACTAGTGCATCGACTTGGTTTTGAACCCGGGTCACTGGATTACGAGCTCTGCTTTTCAGTGGATCCCTCCATTTCCACAGGTTGATCTTTAAAAAAACCTTTAAAAACCATTATACTGGATATTTATGTATACTTTCTATTTCATAACTTTAAAGAATGTAAAATGTATTCTATTATTGAATGTTGAATTGTATATCTGATTTCTTGTCAAAATTACTGTTCTGTTGGAAATGAAAAATAAAACTGAAACTGAAACTACATTCATCTGGAGCACATATCCGAAAGGAATTAACATAACATGTAAATTCCTGGGAAAGTTAACATATTATATTAATATAAAAGCAAAAATTAAAACATGACACAATGTAGGCTTTGTAATACAAATTCAAATTAAATAGCTGCAATATCTGCCTGCATTAATTGAATTTCATATTAATACTTTGAGAGCAATAATTTTGATTCAAGGATGATGTTAGTTTTGCTTGACCACTGTTATTAGATATGGGAGTGTTGTTCCTGTCAGCTCCAGAGATCCAAGAAAGTTTCAGCACCAGGTAAGAACGATAATCCAACAAGTTATTGTATTTTGTACAGTATTTTATCTGATGCATCGGTATGTGGAAAGACCTTTTGGTTTTAAAGGCATTGTTTAACAATGTTAAATCTGACATGCACGGCCCTACGTGCTACCAGTGTCTGTGATATGGTGTAATATTGAATCCCTAAAAAAAAAAAAATTGCGCTTCAAAATGATCAAGAAGTGCCTCCAAAAAAGAGCTTTGAGTGACCGGTTTTACCATTCAATCATCAATTTTGTTTCAGAATCTGAAACAAAGTTACCGGATCCCTTAATAAAGGGACTTGGTAACATTGCTCAGATGACGCTAGATGACGCTAGATGTACGATTAAAGATAATCTGAAAGTTTGAGTGATAACGGACCATAATTAATGATAACAATTCGAAAATACTGATCTCATCGATTAATTAATTCTCCGAACTATATTATTACAATTTAATTACATTTTGGGTGAATGTAAATCTTCACAAAGCAATGAATTGGCTCTATATACCATTCCAGACATTTAAAGATGAAGTTGAGTTCTGGTCATGCGATTGCATTGTGAAAGAAACGGTGTGGAACCGACCAGAAAAGGTTGATCATCTAGCATATAAGAATTTGTGTGTATTGCAAGGTTCTGGAATCATCAAAATGATAAGAAATTTGGCCAAGTCTTGGTAAAGTTATAAACACTGTACACAGAAAGATGTATATGGGACTACATGAACACGTGGCGTAAAAATCCGGCCCCCCGATTTTTACGATGTTAAATGCATATTTAGAATATGAAGGCATTTGAAGAGCCATGCTTTTCAGGGAACATGTCTTATCTGATGTTCTTCCACACTTGCATAATAAGAATGAGTAATGCTCACAAATTATTTTTCACCTCTTCCCAGAACTCAACCTTCTTTTTAAGTGTTGAAAGATATTTAAAAGCCTGTCTTACGTTTATTTTCAAGGAAAACCAGTAAATGCAGCCCCACGCAAATGTGTCTAATATCATTATTATTATTATTATTGTTATTATTAAACATCTTTTCTTTTCTTTGCAGGGCTTTGGAATGTTACTAATGGAGGAGGCTGAGAGGATAGCACGGGAGGAGCACGGATCAGGAAAGATCTCCGTCATATCAGGAGTCGGGACTAGGAACTACTATCGCAAGCTGGGCTATGAGCTAGATGGCCCCTATATGTCAAAGTCTCTGGAATGATCAGGAGTAGGGACTAGGAACTACTATCGCAAGCTGGGTTATGAGCTAGATGGCCCCTATATGTCAAAGTCTCTGGAATGATCAGGAGTAGGGACTAGGAACTAATATCGCAAGCTGGGCTATGAGCTAGATGGCCCCTATATGTCAAAGTCTCTGGAATGATCCTTCATACCATAGGTCGTACTGTCGTGATTTTATGATTTCACAGGATTTCATATAATAATAATGATAGTGGGTTCTTGTATAGCGCTCATTTCTGTCGTATGTGACACTCCTGGCGCTCCCAATTATTACCCTGGCTTAAAAAGGCTGCCATACGGCGCTCTAGCATTTCAAGGAATTAATTCCTGCCAGGTACCCATTTACTTCACCTGGGTAGAGTGTGGCAAATGTAGATCAATGTCTTGCCAAAGGAGATGGCAAGATGTTTTACTGCAAGCTATGGCATGCTCATTGTCTATCTTCTATACGGAAACAAATTCCAGATCAAAATGGCTACCGCAAATTTGAATATGAGCAGAAAGGATCCCTGTGCAAGTCCCAGTCCTGTTCCATATCACATACCTGTCACAGGCCATACCTTGAAAATCTTTTGATATGAACATGTATTGTTGAACATGACACATGTCAGACGGAGGCACTCTTGAAACCCAATCGCTGCACAAAGGCAAAGCAGAGACTGCCCTAGTGACAAGCTAGACATTGACAATTTGTGCTACGTAAAATTGCTTGATTTCATAACGTGCAGATATATGTTTGAGTGATGTCATCGGCGTCACATAGAACTGTATTACAATTTCCTAATGGGAATACAGAAGTGTGCATTTTAGCTTTGGAAATGTTGGCTCAAGATCTTGAACATAGAGAATATTCATTATTGATTTCACTTTCCTTTAATAATAATAATAATAATATTGGATATTTATATAGTTCACATATCCACCCTGCAAGGTGCTCAAAGCGCTCCAATGTTACCCTGGCTCTGCTAGGCTACCTATTTCGGTGCTCACAGCGGTCAAGGAATTCCTTCCTACCGGTGCCCATTATACCTGGGTGGAGAGTGGCAAATGTAGATCAATGTCTTGCCATACTGTTATTACAATGAACATTATTTACAAGATAATCTAAAACTAAGTATTCTGTTCTGTTTTGTATGGTCATTACTGCAAGACCAGCAACTGCCGTGACAAGACATTTACGAACTTTAAGAATTCAAAGTTTGATTATCTTTGAGAATACAACACATTTCAACAACCTGTAGTGCTTGGGTAGTTTTACATTGTAGTAGATCTAGAGAAAGTTCTGGTTTACAGTACACTGTACGGGTAATTCATAAAGAACAAATATTAAAGTTTTTATTGGATGAAAAACTAAATATTTCTCTTCAAATTGCTTACATCTGCTTATCATGGAATGTTGTAACATAACTATAATATGCACTAGTGCAGCAGTGTTGTTGCGTGGTCATTTCCCCAACTGTTATGTCTCTCAGTATATGGAAGTGTGGGAATATATAAAAACCCATGCAAAAACAGAGTGAGCTCTAAACAAAAATTTCCCTAGTAATGCAGCATGTATTGTTAAATCATGAAAAAAAGTTTTTGACATTTACATCTTATCCAGAAAGGACTTTTTTTTTTGGGGGGGGGGGATAAGTGCAGATACAGCGAGTGATTTCAAGTTGGGTGTTTAGGGCTGGTGTTATGTTAAATAATCACTTACACCAGCCCTAAACACCGAAATGGAAATAAGCTGGTGTTAAGGCTGTGACCTCTGAATAACTTCAACTTCTGGTATCTAGTTTTATCGATTTTGCAAAATTGTCGTCTGCTGAACTAACCTTTGTGGCCAATGTTAATATTTTACGTACAAATGTCCTATTCACTAACACTAGCCCCTAGGGATTAAGCAAATGTTGATTTCCAGTTCGGTATTAGTGTTAAGCTATCGATATTGATATCGGCACTGGGTATGATTAAGAAAACTACTGGTATTAATGAATTTCTTTATGTAAAACTCATATTGTAAAAACATGTAAAGCCTTATATTATCATGTCATATCATGGAATAAATTGTAAAAAGGTAATGTGACTGCCGTTTTGTTTCCAAATTATGTGTTTAATATGTGTTTCTACTAAGATATTCAGGCCTAATAAAAACCCGATTTAAATCGGTTTCCCTATTTTATCCTGATTTTCCCGATTCCCCTCTTATTTTCTCTATTCTTCCCTATTTTGCCCTATTTTTTTGCCAATTTTCTTACTCGAAAGAGGGGAATGTCGTTGGATGCCATTTTTTCCCCGCGAATCCTCTTCTGTTTTTTTTTACTCAAAGGGGGCGTGGTTGAGGGGAAAACAAAAAGCCTATTTTTTTGTTAGTGCTCACTATCAGCCCTGGATATTGTAATAACAGATAATGGTAGGAATTATTTAAGATTCAGTGGGGAATTTTATTATTATAAATAATACACTGATCATTCTTAAGAATGTAACAGATTCTTTTCTGTTCAGTTCGTTTTGTTTCCTTTTTATTAATTCTTAGTCAAATTAATGAAAACAGTCAAGTATGTTAATGACCATTTGAAAACTTTAACTTGCACTCTACAAGTATAGATGAGAAATACATATCCATTGATTTGATTTACAATGCCAATCACAGAGTTATGACCATTAAAACTACAATAAATAGCATCAAACACTCAGAATATTCTTATTTATGCCATCTGAATCATACAATATGGCAAGATAATTTATTTTAAAAGCAATATTAGAATATTAAAATCCAGATTTACTGGCATAAACAGAGACAAATCTTGCACCGTATACCACTCGTTATTCGTCACAATATGATTATTACACACCATGAAATAATAAAATCAATATGATATTGTCATTTGTTAATAAATTGATCAATAGAATTTAAGAAGTATTCATGGTAACAAAACTTAAAAGAAAGAAAAAAACTGGACAAAAGAAAGTAGGTTTGTATTAAACTAACCCATTAAAATGAGCTACAGCATGAACAATTATTACAATTTTTTTTTTTTTACTTATGTTGAGTTTGTGACTCTTTTATCAAAATAATTTACAAAGAGGGGGAGGGGGGGGGGGGTCATTTCAATTAAAACGACATGTCTTTAGCTGAAGGTTCAGTCAACCACAGCAGTCAACGTCATGCCCTTCAACTAAGTATAGATACCATTTAATCATTGCCCAAAGTTCTACATAAGTTATATGCTAGAATTATGTTATAAAGAACATTGTCGTAACCATCTTTCCTTTTGCAAAGAGATTTCGCTTCTTTATTTTTTTAGCCCTGATATGACACAGTTTCGATATAACGAAGTAGTTTCACGAGTACCAAAAAGTTAGTTATGAGGAGGTTCCACTGTACCGGTACTTTATTCTGGGTTTAAAGCCCCACTGCACTACTGTTAGCCACTTGCGCCATCTATATAGCAAACAATGAGATATGAGATAACTACCTGTCAGTGACCTTGCAGAGAGGTCTAATCCCCCCTGGCCAAACTAGTACAGACAGGCTTTAAGATTGATCTATATCTAACACTGAAACAACTTCTGTCTGAGTGAGAGTCTCTTTGATGAATAAAACTTGGATTAAGACAAAATAAACTGATATCCAAACTTAAGCATAAGTACATGTAGAAAACAGACATATAAAAAAAGAGAGCAATGCATATTACCTACATAAATGTAATGGAATTCATATCTCTACTTTTGTATTTTGTCACCTTCGATAAAATAGGAGAAAAGAGAATACAAATTGTCTATTTGCTCAGGTAATACTGTAATTCATCTCAAGGTTCAAAATTAAGAACAGAATGTCGCTGATTGATAATGGAATATTTTAAAAAGAGGAATACTCATTCTGTTTGTACTGTCTCTCTGTACCTTACATTAGCCCTAAAAAAAGAAAGATGTTGTATTGCCCTTTCGGTGCCAAAACATGGGTCGCTCGGTCACAAATCTCTTCTTCCCCCCCCCCCCCCCTCCCTCTTTGGGCTGATATTTCTCTCAGATTTGAATGATTTAATATTTTTTTTCTCTAAAAAACGGTAAAAAAAAAAAAGCCCACCGTAGATTTCAAGATTTTTGGGTCGGTCGCAAAGGGCAATACAACATTTTTTGTAGGCCTTAATAATCTTATTCTTCTGAACAGCCCAATAGTAGTTGAATGTCATTTTATGACATTCAGACCTTCGATAACTATCATGCTACTTTGAAACCACTCTTGTTGTTTTCACTGAAAAATTATCATGTACAATGCTATAATTATTCACACACATGTGCACAAGATTAATTATATAATAATAAATATACACCTTGTTCAAATTGTATAGTTACAATACTTCCATTAGCACAGCTTTCACCACATACATGTAATTCCAACTCCGCATTGAATCTTGGTATGTACATGTGTCCCAGGGTTTGGCATCTCACAGTCTGGTAGAAATTGAACATCACATCAAGGGTTCAGTGACACAAAGACGTAACTCCATATTTTGCCAAAATGAGTATTTGATATCAAAATGTTCAGAAAAATGTGGGCTTTCCAGGAAACACAACAATTTTACTCCACCCAACACCACATTGGAGTCAATGGCTAGTGAAACATAGACTTAACTCCTTAAGGCCCAAGTGCTCAGTGACACATACACCACTTTTTCTAAAAATGGCCAAAATGGAGTTACGTCTTTGTCTCACTGACCCCTCAACATTTAACTTTAAAAGTAGGCTACCATGACATCACTCACAGCCTTCTAAAATCTATTTTTCTACCAGCAGGTACAGATTCATTACATCTAGGTCAGGGTAAACAATTTAGTCTAAAGACTTAACAACCCGTCAAGAAATCAAACTCTCAACTCTTGATTTAATTGAAATCAAGTGAAAGAACAATTTTACACTTTACCTGTCATCATTGTTTTTAGTACAGCAGGGGGGTGTTTCACAAAGATCCTAAGTTGAACTTAACTCTTAGTTGGACTTAAAAATTATGGAGAGCCATTTATAGCCTTAAAATAAAATGTATTAAAAAGCAAAAGTTGAAGTATTTTAGACTTTTCATGAATTCCACATCAAGAACAAGAAATCTCCTTGATAATAAAAAAAATGAATGATTTGAATCAACATTTTAAGCCTTTTAAAATAACTTTTACGAAATATTTTCAATGATACTAACGGCTTTACATAATTGTCAAGTCCAACTAACAGATAAGTTAAATTTAGGATCTTTGTGAAACACCCCCAGAGCTTGAAATTACCTTGCACCTGGGACACATGAAGCCTCACATTTGTTAAATCTTGACCCCCATAATTTTAAATTTCGATAGGGGAGTTCATTAATACAGACCCTAAAAAATTCAACCCTTTAAAGAAACTAAGTGTAAAGCAATGATTACATGTACATGATTATTCCGTTGGTGCTCTTTTAGGTCTAGCAAGTCATAAAAGGCTTGTTTCCACATGCTAGCGTGTACACTTGTTTGACAAGTGGGGATGAACCTATTATCAGCATGCAACAAAATGCCATCCATTCACACTATCTCTGCGTTTTATGATAAATACAACAAAAACCTGTGGTAAACCGTCACTGTTTACCACGGCATAATGGGAACAAGCCTCAATATCAAAAGTGACCAATATTTAAAGATAAACTTGAGTTTGGGTAAAAAAAAAAAATGAATTCTCACAGAATCAAACAAAACTTACACTGCATGTTCAAGATTACAAATAAATGTCATGTGCCAAACAATTTTGGTAGAAAATGTATACTGGCTGACTAATGAGCATAGAAAGATAAGGAAATCAAGGTAAGTAACCCTGACACCATTTGTGTAGTCCCATATACATCTTTCTGTGAATAGTGCTTGCAACTTTACCAAGACTGGGCCACATTTCGTATGATTTTGATGATTCCAGAACCTTGCAGTACACACCAAAACTTACATGCTACATGATCAACTTTTCCTGATCCATTCCACACCTTTTCTTTCACAATGCAATCGGATGACCATTACTCAACTTTATTTTTAACAAGGATTGTTCTGATAAAATGCTGTGATTTACGATGATGGTATCAACTCCTCATCACCATGTAAAACTCTGATCTCATGAGAGGGAAGAGAACACCGCAGGCCTTGAAGAAGATGAGAGAAGACTCGTAGATAGCCAGGGGTTTGAGGTACCACGGTTGGTCTAGGAATGCAAAGTAGATGGCGTAGAGGGCCACAGCAAAGAAATGTCCGATAAGTAGGAATGGGTTGGGCGTCAGTCTGCATGATAGAGTGGTAGAGAAACAAAACTGAGTTTTAATATTTTTTTCTTTATACAGTAGGCTTGCGGTTGCACCATGTGAGAGAGAGGAATGAAGTCCTGAAAAGGACTCTTGATTATCTTTCTTTCTTGAGTGTGTGTTGTCCTAAAAAAGGACTGTTGGTGTAGTCTTGTTGGTTATCTTTCTTAGCTTATAGTTCTAAGGAGAACTATAGCGCCGGTTGGAGAGGATAGGTGGCAGGAGTGGATCTTTGTCCTTTCTTTTGTACGTTGCTCCCTTCAGTCAGATACAGATTCAGATTGTTTTAGGGACCACTTTCAAATAATCAAATAAATACATAAATACATTTATATACCTCGATTTAGTATGTTGAATAAATCTAGTCATCTGAATAGTCAAAATTGCAGTCGTGATTTTAGCCATGCCCGTCGACCGGTCAATAGTTTTTTAAAGATGCCCGTTGCCCGGGAAATGGGCCGCATTAATAAATTTCTTTATGCGGGCGCGGATACCATACAGTGCTTTTTGTCTGCCATTCCCGAATGATCATACCATTTAGGCAACTTTCCAGCAAAGATTTACCGACTGTGTCTCAGATTTTCTGTGATGTTTTAACCAGTCTTTACTCAAGAAAAGGATAAGGTCATAATTCTTTGTAGATTTGTTTGTGAATTCGGAATATAAAAGATATATCGACTGCTTTAATATTTGAAGCATAGCTATATCAGGATGTAACGTCCCCTTGAGCCTATAGAAACAGCGATGCCTCTCATAGCAGTCAATATATCTATATTATAACATTAATTGTGCAAAACATCAATACATTTTGTGATGAAAATGGTATTTCATATATTATCTGAGTAAACTACAATATCAAATTGACTTGTACAACCATTAATGGTATTTCCACAAAGTCTGATGTCAGAGAATTATGACCTTCTTCACACAACCCACTCCTTTTAAAGAAATTAAATTATTCCCCATTTATGCAGACCTGCCAACCTCTGGAGTTCAGAAACTGTATTCTTTAGTCCCAAAAGTTGAATTTTACTGACAAAAGTTTTTTTTTTTTTTTTCAAACACGGATCAATGCCTCTTACAGTTCTTACATATAGGAAGAAATGTTTGTATGGATCATTGGTTGAATATGCATGATTTCGTCATGACTGGTGTGTTCGATGAACCAATGGACATCCCCAAATTGCCCATGTGAGATGCTCGTATGATACTTTACAGGACAGAATGGGCATTTTGACATTGAAAATGGCACACACACATACAACATACAAAATATCCCCCCGAAAAAAAAAAATAAAATAAAAAATAAATATATATATTATAGTATTAATGACTGCTTTGAGAGAAATAGTTGTTTTTATACGCTCAAGGGAAGGTTAGAATTGTGCTATTACCCGAGGCGTGCTGAGGGTGATAGCCCAATTGTAACCTTCCCGAGAGCGTATAAAAACAACTATTTCTCGAATATTAAAGCAGTCATCAATACTTTTATATGCCAAAAAAAAAAAATTTAAAAAAAGAAAAAAGAAAAGAAAAAAAACTTTTTTCGAAGATGGGATTCGATCTCTTGCGTACAAAAGGTGATGTAACTAAAAACGGCGCCTTAACTCGCTCGGCTATCGCGCTCTGTTACCATTCACAGCAGTTTTTTTTAATATATACATTAAAATGGATTGAAACGGCTTCGCGTGGTGGATGCTTCGCGGCTGCTCCATTAAACAGGCCCTTCTTTTACTTTTGCAATGCATATTGGCACGAATTTAGATCAAGATCTATCGGCAGATGTTGTTTTTTTGTTTTTGGAAGTTTATTTTCGTCTTCATGTCAACAATGCAAGATAAAATTGTCGGTAAGATCGATCGAGATTCAATTGTATTGAAATTACCGACCAATTCTTCGCACACGTACGGTATCCTCGATCGCTCAGACCATTTTTTAACATGTAAACCTATGGGGTAACCATGGAGACTGACCTATTTTCCCAAATAACCATGGTTATTAAGATTTTTAACTGTTTTTTAACCATGGTTACCGGGAATTTTCAGGAACAGTTAAAGTTTATGAATGCAATTTCGACCAATCAGATTGCTGGATTACTTAAGTGAGGTATATAAATATCTATATTTAAAAAAAATTGTATTTTATTGAGGAAAATTGTAATGTTGTATTTTCTGCTAAATATCGTACGAAATACGATTAAATATTACTGGTTGGCAGGTCTGTTATGTACTCACACAGAGAGTAATCCTACAGGCCCCTCCACTGCTTGTCCTCCGAGCTCAAAATACTTAAAACATGCCTCACGAAGCTTCATCAGATGAACTGAAAAAGATAACAAGAAATATGAGGTTGTGGTGGTTTCCAGAATATTCAGTCATTTAGTTCAACCTTTCCTCCATGTAAGTTATCATCACCCATATGAACTTGATCAATGGCTGTACAATCACTGCTACATATGTACACCTGCACTGTGCATCATCAGATGATCTTTCAACTAAGAAATAGCAATAAGTTTGTTACATGTAGTTTGTAGTAAGTCCATGGTTAGTTGTAATACTTGGTTGATTTGTTTTACCTGCTATCATCATTATCTTTGCCATCATCATTATCATCTTCACCATTACCATCATAGTCATCTTCATCATCATCTTTATCGCTATATAGTCAATAAACTCACCATCTGTAGCAGCAAATAATTCATACAAAGCCTGAGCCAGAACGTTAACAACAAATGCATGAGTAGACTTCCTTTTCCAATGGAACATTCTCAGGGCGCGTGATAAGGCCTTATCATCACCTACAGACACAAACAATGCAAGAGCTGTAATCATCACACATGCAAACAAGCAATATATGGTAATTTTTGTAATCATGAACAAATACACATAGCATATGATAAGAGGATAGCAGAATATGCCTGTCTTCACAACAAGGTAAATGCATTCTGCATCTCAAAAAAAAATTCATAAAAGGTAACATTTTATAGACCCATCGAGTAATAAAGCACTGACACTTTAATCATTTGTGTGTTCAAACGAATGGGAAAGTTGTCCGGCGCTTCCGGAATGGTATATAGAGCCAATTCATTGTTTTGTGAAGATTTAAGTTCACCTAAAATATAATTGAATTGTAATATTATAGTTAATAGAATCACAGAATCGATCAGATCAGTTTTTCCTGATTGTTATCATTAATAATGGTCTGTTTTCACTCAAACTTTCAAATTATATTTATTTGTACATCTAGCATTGAAGTCACTACCTTAGCACCATTTCCTCTCACCTGAACAATGTTACCAAGTCCCTTTAAGAAGTCCGGGGAGTGTTTCACAAAGACTAAGATCGACTTTAAGTTGGATTTAACTAAGCCAGGCTGTTCATTCCACTGGTTGCTCTCACCGTTTGGGCTCTCAATTAAGATCTTTAGATTACAAATATTCTTTCAAATATGAACTATCAAAAAATGTAAATTCTGTAGATTTGTGACCACTTTTTGTACGTCCCTTGAGAAACCAATGCCAGGAACGATTAGAGGAACTAGTGGCCTGAATGGCCTGCCATAGTTAAGTCCAACTTAAAGTCAACCTTAGTTTTTGTGGTCTAGATTCTCACCTAAGTTTGGTATTGATTTGAAGAGCTCTCTCCATATCTTGACGTCATTGAGCGCCACACTCATGCCACCTCCCGTCAGCGGATGTCTCATGTTGTATGCATCACCCAGCAGCAGAGCACCTTGCTTCTCTACTGGTGCAGGTGGTAAAAAGCTGTTTGGCATGCTGCGGATGCGACCATTTTGAATAGCATCTGCAAAGGGCTCCTTGATGTGTTCTGTAAAGGATAAGGAATTACAAGGTTATATAGATATATAATATTAAAAGAGATATGAGGGAACTAAATCTGATCGCTGCACAAACGGCAACCAACCCCTGCTCAGGTAAAATGGTTCATGGAATGGTAGTAGTAGAAGAGATATATATTTCTCAAATAATAAAGATTCTTTCTATCACTTGATAGTCTCCCTCTCTTTCTCTTTCCCTCTCCCTCTCTCTCCCCTCTCATGCCCCCCCCCCTTCTCTTACTCTCACTCTCCCCCTCCCTCCTCCTACCTCCCTCTCTCCCTGCCTCTTCTCTCCTTGGCTCTCTCTCTCTCTCTCCAAGACTGTTTGTCTATCACGGCCTCGTTCACTCACCTGGTAACTGTGGAAAGACCTTGTCCATCATATACTGCTTGACATCTTTGGGCATGTCCCCTCTCACATCGACCAGTACCCTTGTATCCTCCGAAGAGATCTGGTAGATGAGTACAGGAGAGGGATCGGCCAGGACCAGCTCGGCGTGGTGAGCCTCGTACTGGGGGCAGTGGTGCATCAGGGTTCCTACAAAGTGGGAGGTCGTCTGGGGGAGGGTGGTGGTGAGCTGCTTGCGGAACTTAGAGAAGCAGCCATCAGCGATGATGGTGAGGGCAGCTTTCATCTCCTAGAGTATAGGTTTCATCAAAGAGGAAAGGAAAATTGATGATTGGACAATATCTGGAAGACTATGGACAAATGAAGGAAACCTGTTCTTAAAGGCCCACTGTACTACTTGTAGCTACTTGCTCCCTCTATATAGAAAACAATGCCAAATCAGTAACCATTGGTGCCCCATGATCCTCTTTTTTTTATGTTAATAAGTAATAATAACAATAGCTCACATTTATAATGCGCCTAATACTTGGTTTCTAGGCGCAGCACATATTATTACCCCGGTCATCGGATTCAGGCTAACCCGCAAGTCAATGTACATGTATGCACATTTTCCACTCCCTGGGGAGTATTATATAGGTTTCTTCAAGGAAAGGAAAAGTGATGATTGGATAATATCTGGAAGACTATGGAAAAATGAAGGCAACCTATTATTGATTTTTTTTTTAATTTCTAGTGATTATCACAAAAGATTAAAAAAATGGTGTGGTTAGCTCTCTGTCTTCACCTATGAACTGACTCAGCGGACCCCGGTTCGAGACCGAGTCATGTCTTTTGGATCGTGACGTTAAAGGTCGGTCCCCAGGCGTAAATAATCATATCTGATTGATACACATCTGTCAGATCATAAATTACACACACACACACAAACACACACTGCATCCAGAGGGGTGTTCCACAAAGACTAAGATCGACTTTAAGTTGGACTTAACTATGGCAGGCCATATTCGTGCCACTGGTTGCTCTCACCATTGGTCTCTCAATTATGATCTTTAGATAATATTTTCCTTCATTAGTGAACTATCAAAAAAGGCAAATTCTGTAGATTTGTGACCACCATTTGTACGCCCCTTGAGAGACCAATGCCAGGAAACGGTGAGAGCAAATGATGGCATTAATGGCCTGTCATATTTAAGTCCAACTTAAAGTCGATCTTAGTCTTTGTGAAACACCCCCCAGATCAAGCCAATAGAGAGACTCGCTGACTTGTGCAGTATTCTTGCATCCACAGTTCTTACCTTGAGGTCTTGGGTTCCTTTGAGTTTATATGACACTCCAACGACTCTACCATTCTCCTCCAAAATTCTAGATGCACTGCCTTCAATGTATGATACTCTGATTAAAATGAAAACATATGTGAGAAATGAGAATGTAAGTACGTGTATTATCCTTTTGTATTATCCTATACACATGTGTATTCATTTCCTGCTTACTTGGGACAACCTCAAAGAGTACAATAAATATAAATTATCTGGCCAGTATTACAATCTTGTTAACAAATGTCATGTGTACACATCTTTCACTTGTAACATTGTGGTCGATTTCCAGTCAGTCTAATAATCATGTAATCATAAGTAATAATAATCATTTGAAGATCAAACACTTCTTCACCTCCTATTGGACCAGTGCAGAGATGCCAACCTCTTGACACAAAAAAACAGACCGAGTATCCTAACAAATCAGATTTTGGAGAGAAAAATCAGATTTCATGAATACTCGACACTACCACTGGCACGTTGGCCCTGGGTCAGTAACATTTCAGAAAAATGTTTTACTGGTAAGAACGGTCAAGTAAAATGTTTGCTCTTTCATTAAAATTTAATGAGTATTGTAAAGCAAAGTTTTTGTTGGGGTTGCGGTGGTTTACTTTTACATGTTTTACGTTTTGTATGGGTTTTTAATAGATTTTTTATCTTTTTTTTTTTTTTTTAAATCATATTTTAAGAGGTGATATCGTATTATCGTATTTCACTCTTATTATTGTACTAAATATGATTTAATCAAACTGGTTGGTATCTCTGCCAGTGTATAATATGTCACACCCTGAATAAACCTTGCAGAAGGACCGACCCACCTTTCTTCAGCTAGAGCTGCTTTACGGAGACCCATGATAAACCTGCCATGATGGAATGATCTGCCGGTGATTGGAGACCCTGAATCCTTGTCCTTGGGATAAGGAACCACAACCTGGGCGCCGGACTTGAGGTCATGGATGACGTAACCTTTGACCGTGTGTTCATCAAGGCCTTCTACACAATCTATAGGAAACCAACAGGGAAAAAATTAATATTTATTCAATCGGGGGTTACTTTTTCAGTTTGTATGCATGAAAATAATGCTCAAAAATTTGTTTTGCATAGAACTCTATACAAATTTAAGGGGGCACTTTTATGATTTTGGGGGGCTCTTTTGGGCATTTCGGGGGCCATTTCTCCCCGAGCCCCTGTGAATTTTTTACACTGGAAACCAATCAAAAGAAAGTAACATTATAAATGATGGAATATTTCACTGTGTCTTTTACTCAATCAACAACAAAAACAGTCAAAATAGAGTAAGCTCATGGATGACGTAACCTTTAATTATGTGCTCATCAAGGCTTTCTACACAATCTACAGATAAAGGTAAAAACAAAGTAAGATTGCAAATGATGTAACATTTTACTTTGTAATTATCAAAGCCTTCTACTCAATCTACAAGAAAACAGAAAAAGAAAAAAAAGATTATCAATGGCCTTGGCTTTTCATGTTGTGTTCTTCAAGGCCTTCTACATTCTGTATAGATACAGAAAAACAGCATACAAATAATGGAACCTGGGCCCTGTTTCATAAAATATCAATAACAAATGCTGAAATTTTATGACAAATTTGCTCTCAGCCAATCAAATGCAATGATTTCAGTACGGGTAGCTTATAACAATTATTGTATCTTACTATTGATATCAAGTGTTATGAACAGGGTCCTGCTGTGTGTGTTCATCAAGGCATTCTACAATTAACCCATTGACTACGGAATTATCTCATTCCCATAGGCATTACACGGGGACCACTCGGTTCCAGTAGACAATGGGTTAAAGAAAACAAAGCAAGATCTTGAATGACGTAATGTCCACTTTGAGTTCACATCAGTTTTAAAGTGACTCTGTAACATCGACTCAGATTCTGATACAAAATCCTGGATTTATCTCATGCTGCAATCATAATTGTAAACCTTTAGGTCAGTCAGGAATCCCATGACTTTTACAAGCTGATCGCATGTCTGATTATCAAGATATTTATGATTGGAAATCAAAATTTCATTTCTTTTTTTATAGCACGTAAGTCTATTGGGGAAAATGAGCATGGTGTTCTGGTCACTCAAATTTGTTTACTTTTTTGAGGCACTTCATGATCATTTTGAAGCACAATTTTATTATGGCTCTCATATTACACCATATCACAGACACTGATAACACGTAGGGTCGTGCATCTTAGATTTAACATTGTTACACTATGCCTTTAAGGCTTGTTCACATATGCAATGTTAACATAAACCACCGTACACAAACATACTGCACTTCACATATCCATCTTATTAAACCAATAAATGAGTATGCGCAGGACCTGTGTTGCATGCGGCTACAAATATTTCATCTCTACTTGCCATTCATTTAGTACACAGACACAAAAAGCCACAGGTTACAGTGGAGAATGTGAACGTGTCTGAATCTCATTCAATCACTCAGGGGAGAGGGAGTGATGTGAAAGATAAGTAACTGATAAAAGTATATGACATTTACGGAATTAAAACATCAGCCAACATGGTTGAGGCCTGACATGGTTCCATATCATATAATCGAACCATTCCGGTCATTACCCTTTGAATTGTGTTACCCGTTATGAACGAGGGTGTAATCAAACTATACAAAATAGAGATAAAAACAAACCATACCGGTCATTACCCTTTGAATTATGTTACCCTTTATGAACAAGGGTGTAATCAAACAATACAAATATCATAGAGATAAAATATTAGGGCATTGATAATTTGATATCATGTCTCAAGTATTCCTCTTGCACAAACAGTGAACCTGTGTTGTTGAACATAATTAAAGGCTCATGATCAGAATTCAACATTTTGATCCTCATTTCATCTTCTAAATTAAGTTAGCTTGAGCAGCTGCTATGCAAAAACTAGTTCTTTTTAAGAAAAAAGGAAAAATGGAACACATGAAGGTATTGTTCACATTATTTCATCATTCAGCTTTAATTATTAAACCAAAGAAACTGTCCATGTCAGCAAGATAAGTTAGACTACGACGTTAAATCACCAACAATTAAGGCTTATTTGTTTTGGATGCTGTTCTTCAACCAAAAGAATAAACACAGCATGAAACCAAAGATCGATAATCAATTTCTCACAATCATGTGCACTTTTTTTTTATTGCACAACTGTGAAGGATAAATTTTGAACATTGTTTAACTTGCAATATCTCTCGAAAGAAGTATCATTTTCGCTCATATCTTGAATAGTATAGCGACATTAAACACCCAACATTCAGAGCTCAATATTATTGTGGTGATTGGTATACTTTAAGAGGCCCTACCAACAAACCTGAATTCAACCCCACAGTATCTTCCTAAGTGACACTTGATAGGGCTTTGTACTTTACTTTAAGATAACCGACAAGTATTTGAACTTTGAACATCACCTGTACCATATTTCACTTTTTAAATATAAGACAGGAAACCATGCTGATTATTTGCTGTAACTATGTAACCATGTCATGCCAGGGCCATAGCCTTGGGCCACAAATGCAATCTTTTCTTACTGCCCTCATGGCCCAAGTCAGGTAACATACGGTTAAAGTTGATATTGCCAGGGAAAATGACGTTGCTGGGGCAAGTCCGAGCTATTCTGTCCCATACCGTACCATCCACAAATATTTCAGATTTTGACTTTAGGATAAATGTGATAATCGCATGAAGTTAATAGCCTTACTAGAGCTCAGATCAGAAATCATGTAAGTTTTAAAATGACAAAATTGATATCAATTTATGTTCTGGACCCCGTTTCATGAAATTTGTTATAAAAAACAAATGCTCAGCCAATCAACTGCTATGGTTTCAGTAGCTTTTAGCTATTCTAACTTGTGTTATTGATAATTGTTCTTATGAAACAGGACACAGGACTCCACACTACTGAGTGGTGTGTATGACACCAAATGATTGAATACCTTAGACTTGCCCATTTAGGCATTTACCTTTTAATCCTAGATCAGTTAGGGCCCTGTAACCACCTGGCTGCAGCAGTTCTCCAACTATCCTGTCCGGCTCTTTCATGTCTCTTTCTATGACGGTCACTTTCCGGCCATCTCTGGCCAGCACCGTAGCCATGGCTGACCCGAGGATGCCAGAGCCAACGATGAGAACGTCTGTATCACATGATGATGACTCTGTCACAGGATTGGATGATTCCATCTGCTTCTTCTGTAGGGGTTGAATATGAAGGAAATCAAATCAGCTCACCAACATTCAAATATCAGTGTCAAATATCTTTATTTACCCCTTGGATAAGATTTGATATTGATACAAAATGTTTTAATCAATACACTCAAGTTCAGAAGGTAAATGGCTTTTTCTTTAGAGATAGAGAGCGAAGATACATGTATCTTTTCTTTCTTTCTTCATATTCCTTATATTTTCTTGGACTTGTTTTCGAGAAATCTTATTTCATCCACACAGTGCCACATATTAATAGAATTGTAGGAAATAGAATGGAATAATATTTCTAAAATGTATTTTTAGCAGATAAGTTTCCCCATTACCTTATTAATCAATCCTGTAAATAAACAACAATACTAAAGTATTAATTGTCAATTACATTTACAGATTTTAAAGAAAGTTTTCAGTGGAACAAGTGCATGTTGCATGGGGAAAACATACTAACTTGTCAAGTACTGGTAGTTCGAAATTGAAATTGGAAATAGAAATAATTCTCTCTAGGGTTAGAGTGATCGTATCATGACTTACTGAGCCAAATGCATCAACAAAGTTTAGAAAGTTATATGTGCCATTCGCTTCATGTGTCGAGCATGAACGCCTTTTGGGGTTTAATTGTCAATGAGATTATTTACTGCAAGATACTTGACAGTTTTTTTCCGCTGTGTAGCCGGAGCAATGGTCTTCAAATTTATGAATACACTAATACAGAACATTAAATGTGATTGTCTGAAAAAATACTGTTTAAAATATTCAGTCGGCCCAAATGCAAATTTAAATAAAGAGAGAGGGAGAGAGAAAGAGAGACAAAAATAGAGAAAGAGAAAGAGAAAGAGAGAGAGATAGAAAAAAAAAAGATAGAAAAAAAAAAGAGAAAGAAAGAGAGGGATATAGAGACAGACAGACAGACAGACAAAAATTGAGAATGAGAAAGAGAGAGAAAGAGAGTGTGTGAGAGAGTGTGTGAGAGAGAGAGAGAGTGTGTGAGAGAGAGAGAGAGAGAGAGAGAGAGAGAGAGAGAGAGATGCAATGCACGAGCAACCTAAATAGCAATTAGACTTCTACTCACCATGGAAGAGGGCTTGCCTAGTACAATGTAAAGCAACAGACCAAGTATAGCTGATACTGCCAGGGGATACCCCAGCCCCTCAGGGACGACACTCATCAGTATTTCAATCATTGCAAAACCTGATAACAAAAAGCATTTTGGAAATTTGCAAACAATCAGAACAAGGTTTGTTTAAATTAAAAAGTAATTAGTCTACAAGTTGCAGAGTAAAAATCCCTATTTGATACTTACTTTACGATAATTGCAATTAGATCTAGTCTAGTCTAGTAAGTAGTATACAAATGCATGGAGTTCGCTTCATTTAGCACATTCCATGAACAACATTCCATGGACGCGTCGGTGTATCATCGGAACCTTGTTCGTCACCAACGCCAAACTTCCCCGGCAAAGACGGCCACTGAGTCGGACACTGTCCGTGGACCATGGCAACCGCACGATCAACCAGGTCAGGTGAGGAAACAACAATTTAAATCCAGATTTTCCAACATCATCATTAACACTATTGCGGTTTGTATAATAACGATAACTTACCTTCCCTAAGTGTATCAAAGAAGCAAATATGAACAAATCACCCGCTTGCATCAAGAGTTCTCTTGCTGCTCAGCTAGCCTGTACTCTGTGTGACCTTTGACATGCCAATCGCACCATTAATCGAACTTATGCAAGCTATTCTCAGCATGCAGCGCTAGCGCAGCTAGATATGTAATCATTGCGGTACGAACTTGGGCGGGGTAGGGGCGTATCCAACCGGCGGGACAATATTGAGCGGCAGAACAGCCAGCAGGTTAACAAGCGGGGGGGGGGGGGGGGGGGGGGGGGGGGGGGGGGGGGGGGGGGGGGGGGGGGGGGGGGGGGGGGGGGGGGGGGGGGGTAAGGAGCACTAGACTATTTGTTGATATTTTGTTTACATGACCCAGAAAAATTTGAAAATTGCACCCCCCCCCCCCCTTTAATACAAATTAAGGTAAAATTAACATGTTTTTACCTGTTTTTTTTCCCCCTGGATCCACCACTTGGGCGGGGGGGGGGGGGGGGCAGATACTGTACTAGTATCTTCCCAGTTCAGTGATATAATCATTCTGCTTCTGATATCGTACAAATTAAGCACATAGATGGAGCACATTTCCTTTTCGGTCCTGTCCAAGTTTCCTCGTTTTTTAAAAGCTACTAAATATCAATACGGACTGATGTGCAAAGGGGGCGAGAGTATGGAGACGGTAGAACGACTGAAACCCCCCCCCCCCCTTCCTACCTCCACCCAACCCAGCAGACACTATATAAAGACAAGGCAAAGAAAGGAAAGGCCTAGTCTCAAAGGCTTGGTGATGTTTGATTCTTTCATTCTTAATTCACACTCTCTCTCTCTCTTTCTATCCCTCTTTATTTCTTTCATAAGTTATATTTTAACCATGTTGTAGGCTATACAGTACATCATCTTTTCAGCTGGATTTCAGATTGGAAAAGGACCAACGGTGCCCCCAGGAATGCAAGCACCCCCTCGATGCCTGGACCCACGCCACACCACATTACAAATCATGATAATTCCATACTTATTCATAATCCATATCCATCCATCTTAATAATCCATCTTCTTTAATAATCTCGATTTGTTGTTAATTACCAACACAACTCGCATCTTTTATTTTCCATATTTGTTCACAACTCACAAACTGCTTTTGTACAAATGGTTATCGGACATTAACACCAGCAACAATTGCTCTGGGCTGTATTTTGTCAAAGGTATAGGACGAGGATAAGCGTAGCAATGGAGTTTTAGGTGATGTTTCAGAATAAGATTAGGGACGGGTATAGTGTTGGGTTAAGGGTTGAAGTTAGGAATTCGCTGGGTGGTATTCTCGAAAGCGAACTTACTTTAGTCCATGGTTTAATCCTCCGACTAAGTATGGAATGCCAAGTGTCCATATGAATATGTTTTTGAATATTTCAGTATGTCACTAAATTAAAATAAAATGTAATAACATACTTAACAATATAACTATGAAAAATTTATGAGAATACCACCCGCTAAATTTATCAAAATTGACTGCAGAGCAATTGTAACAGGAGTATGTGTCGTACATACAACCTGGGAAAACTTGATATATAACACACAATACAAAAGGATTCCTCTAAATTTAGCCAGCATTTTATTGTAATAAATGACCTGTAATCGACTATAAAGTGTCTGCCAAACAATCAACAACCAAAAATGAAATAACATGAGCTAGCACGATTACTTATAATAAACTCTCCAACATGTGTATCATATTGATAAAAATTAGAATGGAGCCGAACCTGTGAATCACCACAATATAAGCAAATGGCAAATATCATCCCTATGATACAAGGTTACATGTGAATAGGGATTAGTAAATACAAAGTGAAGTTTTTCATGCATTAGCAAAGTCTAATTGTCTTGTTAATAAATAAAGAGGATGAAGCAAAGATATTTGTGATCAACCTCAAAAATGGTCACGTTTGTACAGCTACCGGTACTTAAATTGATTTGTACTTCTTTTTTAGATTGTAATTACATGTATTTGGAAAAATATCAAGAAACGGTGATAAATATGTAATCAGTGCTGCCATGTTTAATTTGATTGCAAGCTATATATTTATCTAGTGCACGGGAAGATATTTCTTTTTGCAAAACGAGCTGGTAATGCTGAAGGGATTCCATTTTTATTCATTTGAAAGATGTCCATTATGGACATGACATTTGACACATGACATTTGACTCAATTACAGGGCTTTAGTTAAAAATGCACTCACCGTGTTATACTTTTACAAATAATAATAATAATATTCCGCTTTTATATAGCGCCCAATACATCGATACAACGATGTGTCTAAGCACTTTACAGATATATTATTGCCCCGGTCATCAGATTCAGGCATACCAGCACACAATGCATGCACATTCTTCACTCCCTGGGGAGCATTCCAGCCAGTCGCCATTTTACAAGCGCACACTTGCTCATCCAACTACATTAACTTTCGCATCTTACCGGGTACCCATTTAACACCTGGGTGGAGAGTGGCAAATGTAAATTAAGTCTTGCCAAAGGACATTAGTGTTGGGCTGGGATTTGAACCCTGTACCTTGTGATCTGCAGTTGAGTGTCTTATCCACAAGACCACAACACCTCTACAAATGCAATCACTGGTAAAATTAGAATGATATCCACTGTATTGTTTTAGAATAAAAACAGTTTCTGTAGATGGAAGTGCGTGACACCAACAACAAAAAAGAACATTACCTACAACTTTAATAGCTAACCCAATGTTTATACAAGAGCATCAACAACAAATCAGATAGGTAAACATAAACGATGAAATATTTAGCCATCAGTTTTGCAGCAATCATATAAATAATCATTCTTGAATTTATTTTGGCTTCCGTGTATTCATTCAATTATTCAATAATACTGACCACCTTAACATTATTATAATTTTAGAAAGATAATTTTATTTTACAACACACCTTAAAGAGTGATGTATACATGAGAAAATCAAATTGACCAATACAATTTTCAATGGTCATTCTGGTACTTCCTCATTTAGCCATCATTTAGAAGCCATATAATCAAAAGATTTAAATTCTTAGTGAATGAAAGAAAACAATTTAAGTTATTCTACAGCAAACACCTATTGATTTCTTAACACAACAATATACAAACCTGGACTGCATATCAACTGTTTATTTTCTTGGCAAATATGCTAGGATGAGTAAATTTCAAACAGAAAATGAAAATAGCTCTCTTAAATTCAAGCTCTTTGATGTCCACACCATACATTTTTTCCAAATAAAGCAATAGGCCTTGAAGGCTTATTGACCTTTATAAAAACTGGTCAAACCTAACATGCTTCACTATTTTGAATAGAAATTTGAAACAATTCTCCACTGCTTTACTTCAGAGCAGCAGTGTTTGCTAGCTTTGGCAGTTGCCAGAAATAAGACCTAAATTCTGTTTTTACTTTTCCTTGCAATATTACATGAGTTAAAGTGCTTTGGCACTTTAAATGTACACCCGAAAAAGTAACATGAAATGCTTTCTTTCATGGCACTTAATTTTGATAGCATCCTTCGTATATATATATCTTCCATAAAACAATCACAAAATCAAAATATAAATCAAATTACCAGTCCTACTGATGAAATATAGCGAAGACACAATTTACAATGTAAGCTGCAGTTAATGAACAGTACAATCACTACCTTACTTAGCATACCACTACAAATACTGTTCCAGTTTATACATAAGATAATGAAGAAATGGACTACCTAATAACCTCATGTTCAGAAAGTGAGTGGTTTTTCAAAATGTGTTACACACTAGGGAGCATGTAACATATCTTGGTGATTACTCTCTTTGTGAGCATAGCTAAATGACATAGGATGATCACTCGATATACAGGAGTAAATAAAGCACATCAAATCAAGCATTCTTAAAGGAGCTAATCACAACTGATCCTTAAACTACGACGGCTATATAACACACAAGTGCATGCGATTATAGAACATGACCATACAGAATAATATCAGCTTAAACGTACTTTCGTTACGGAACAACCATTACGGAATCGTTTAATAAGGGTAGAATGTAACACATGTTGAGTATCTTGGGTGGCGTTGTAGAGCGGGTCTGGGGGACCTTGAGAGTCGCTGTCAGATCTCTGCAGCGATTTCCCGGCAGGCGCCCCCATCCATCAGGCCACAGATGCCGTTGTAGAGGGGGTCTGGGGGATCCATCAGGCAGCTGCTTTCATCAAACTCAAAGAAGCCTCTTCTCGGGGGAGAAGTGGCCAGCTGCTTGTAGGAGGCCTTGCAGCTGTTACGTGGTGGCTTGGGCTTGCCAGTAATCTGCTCTACAATGGATCTGTAGAAAAAGGATTAATAAAACATTTAAATAATTAGGATGCCATGGATATGTCATTCATAGCTATGACTGACTCCAGTGACTTAAGAAAATACACATGAATAATGAGAGATTTAGCTCTGGATAGCCCCCAAAAAGTTCTTTTAAAACAGAAAACATCTCTGGTTAAAAACAGTCAATTACTGGGGGGGGGGGGGGGGTGGTATTGGAAGTTTTTTTTTTATTTTACAACACTACATCAATTAGGAGCAATAGTGAACAGAATTGTAGGTTCATACTCATTCATAGCATGACGGCTGTTAACTTGTAAACTATGATATTTATATGGGAGGATTTGAATTCTCTGCCTGCAGAAACCAGGAAGTTCCTGCACACAGCCTTTGGGACCGACTGAATTCAGAAGTGGATGAATAACATTACTTACAGGGTTTTTTTTTGGGGGGGGGTGGGGGGGAGGTTTTTTTTTTTAATGCCAGTAAATTTGTTCAAATATTTTGTATTATCCTCAATGTGTTATTCATTGCTTATTATGGTTGATATTCTTTATGTATATCTTCTTCTGAAGTTTTATATGATATTCATTTGTACATGTATTTAAATATGTAATTCAGAGATTTATTTTCAATACAATGGCCTGTCGGAGGGTAAAAAAAAATTGGGTAAAATACTTACAGATATTCCTTTGAGATGATGAAGTATCCAATGGATGCGATTGAAACCGTTGATTGAATCTGAGCTGGCACACATGGTGTAGGCTCCCATGTCTGAGAAACATACAAAACAGTTTAACTTTAGTTCTCTAAATCTTCACATGATACAAATAGGGGAAAGAAATGTAAAGCTAACATGACTTTGAAAAACACAGTTGAGGGGGAGACTAGTGAAACCGCCTTATCAGTGTCTGTGATATGGTGTAATATTGAAGCCTTTAAAAAATTGTGCTTCAAAATGATCAAGAGGTGCCTCAAAAAAGTAAACAAATTTGAGCGACCGGTTGTCACCTTACTTGTTTTCCCCAACAGACTGTAATGTTATGAAAACCGTTAGTGAAACAAAAAATTTGGTTTCGATTTCCAATCATAAATATCTTGATAACCAGACAGGCGATCGGCTTGTAAAAGTCATGGGGTTCCTGACTGACCTAAAGGTTAATAATTATCATTGCAGCATGAGCTAAATCCAGGATTTTGTTTCAGAATCTGAGACAAAGTTACCCAATCCCTTTAAAGAAACGAAACGGCCCGGTTATTTGCTACCCACCTTGGAAGATGAGCCACTCCCCGACCTCCAGTTCAGGCATGAGATGGTTCTCAATGATGCGATCAATACCATCGCAGGATGGCCCCCAAACACTGGTAGAGTACATCTGCACATCCCCATCGCGCTCCTGCAAAACATAATGTTGTATTTTTTATTTTCTTGAGAGTGTAGTAATATCTTATGTACGGTATTTCACTATCAGGCAAATTGTAAAAAGTTCCTCAATCTATTAATGTTATAAAATATTCACTGATAAAGTAGGAAGAACAAAAAAGCATGGGGAAACAAGTTCAATTTCGCAGTGCAATAGCAATGGGTATAATAATGTAGGACAAATCCTGCACAAATGTGATTCCTTCCTCTTACCATATTGACAAATTTGTAGGCTGAATCATTAACAGTACACAAAAGCAAAGTAGACATGCAAGGATTAACTAGTAAGCTCATTTGAAAGAGGAGATGCAAATAAAAAGAATTTTTGTTGATCAGTGTTGGATGGAATCATCATGTTGTAATTCAGACGGCAATTCCTATTCATTCCAATTCATCATATCAACAAAGGGCAGGACAAAAGTAGCTATCTAACAGTACAGAACTCTCAAAGTAAATAAAGGATACCCATTAATGAAGGTCATTTTGATACAGTGTCAACCGAACATTCTTTGGCCCTCCTAAATAATCCCCACTTGAGTTGGCCCAATTGTCACTGATTATGCATTGTTTGCTATATAGAGGGAGCAAGTAGTACAGTGGGGCATTAAGAAATCTTCAGTACTAGTCACCTTGAGGAGTTGGGCCTCTACTTCAGCATGGTCGAAGAGGAGACAGTTGAATGAGCCATAGACACCATCATTGACATAGTACATGAAGGCAGGCTCATCGCACTTGGACGGAGCCACGGTGTTCGCCACAAGATCTGTGAATGAATGAGTCAAAGAAAATTATATTGATTATAGCATTGGGACACAGGGAAAGGTTACGTCACTACGCTGTCAGGAATGTAGTACGTTTATTACCAAACACTCAGAGCCGATACTCAGGGGGGTCCCTTCATGGTCCAGGGGAGTATTTCACAAAGACTAAGACCGACTTTAAGTTGGACTTAACTATGGCGGGTTATTCATGCCACTAGTTCCTCTAACCATTCCTGGCATTGATTTCTCAAGTGACGTATAAATCGTGGTCACAAATCTACAGAATTTACATTTTTTGATAGTTCATTATTGAAGGAAAAATATTATCTAAATATCATAATCAAGAGACCAATAGTGAGAGCAAACAGTGGCATAAATGGCTTGTCATAGTTAAGTCCAACTTAAATTCGATCTTAGCCTTCCCCTGATGTGATTTCCATGAAAGCTTAAAGGTCTGAAACAATGGGGAAAATTACTAAGTTTATATGATACATATAGTGGTGTATCTAGTAGCTATTTTGGCACCCGGGGCAAGCTTCAAAATAACCCACACCCCCCCCCCCCCCCCCCATCTACATAACTGTTCAAGCAAACAAAGCAACCCCTTCCCCCCCCCCCCCCCCCCCAAAAAAAAAACTCTTTGTATATACAGTGAAACCTGTCTATAAAGACCACCCAAGGGAGACAGGAAAAGTGGTCTCTACAGGCAGGTGGTCTTTGTAGACAGGTTCCTTTAGTACATGTTTCAATGAGAAACCATTTTCAAGGGAAACAAAAAATGGGGTCTTTCTAAACAGGTGGTCTCTAAAGCAGGTTTGAATGTACAAAGATTATTAGGTTAAGTGTACCTTTACTTTCAGGGACTTGATAGGTTGGGACGTCTCGGGCTACCATACGCTTGGCGGTGATGTTGACAGCCAAGGTGAAGGCAGAGGCGACGTAGAAGCGACCAGGCTCTGCGATCACACGCACTCCACAACCAACAGGAAAGTTCTCTGCGAGGGCTTGGTTGATGACAGTAGCAAACTAGTAGGAAGAAACATGATGATTGATTAGTTTACCTTACTAGGGCTAGTGTATCCGTCGCACAGCCAAATGACTCCAAACCACCCCATTCTCAGCCATTCCACGTAATGTCAGTTTTTAAGCTGCTGTTAATCTGATGACAGTCTCATTGGGTGTGACTGTGGTATAGAAATCAAGTACAACCCCCCCCCCCCCCAAAAAAAAAAAAGTACAAGTGGACCTAAATTTATAGGTCTTATCTGTGGCAGTTGGTAACTTATAATTTTGATTTGATTTGATAAGGTTTTATTTGAATATTCAACAATACAGCTGGAGGCTGATGCAAGTGAATTTACAAGGTAAAAATAATTCCATAAACATATAAATGTTATATGCTTTAACAGTTTTAAATGAATCCAGATACAAACTAGATGGAATTCGACTGCGCGCAGTCGAAAATGATGCCTCCGTCATAGAGCAATTTTACAAACCGAAACGGAAGAAATTTTTCAAATTCAAGTTTAATCCATTAACATGTTCTCAGAATATCGTGATTACAAGCAATTTCTCATATACATATATGACCCTTTGATCTTTGACCTCATGACCCTAAAATCTACTCAGTTCATTGGCTCTGCAAGATTTCCTGAGTTAAATAGTAATCCATCTGTCAGTTCTAATGAGAATGCGTCCACAAGCTATTTTTGCATACATAATGAGCCCATGACCTTTGATCTTATGAACCATTCATTGGCTCTGCAAGATACATAAATGATCTAAGTTTGGCAGGAATCCATCAATCTGTTCTAATGATAATACGATCACAAGCTATTTTTGCATACATAATGAGCCGCATGACCTTGACCTTTACCTCATGATCCCAAAATCTAATCAGTTCATCAGCTCTGCAAGTAACATACATGACCTAAGTTTGGCAGGAATCCATCGATCGGTTCTTGAGATGAGGCGATCACGAGCTGTTTTTGCATACACAATGTGCGCTGTGACCTTTGACCTCGTGACCCCAAAATCTAATCAGTTCATTGGCTTTGCAAGATACATACATGACCAAAGTTTGGCAGGAATCCATCAATCGGTTCTTCAGATAACTAGATCACAAGCTGTTTTTGCATACATAATGAGCCCTGTGACCTTTGACCTCGTGACCCCAAAATCTAATCAGTTCATCAGCTCTGCAAGATACATACATGACCAAAGTTTGGCAGGAATCCATCAATCGGTTGTTCAGATAACGCGATCACAAGCTGTTTTTGCATACATAATGAGCCCTGTGACCTTTGACCTACGTGCTCCAAAATCTAATCAGATTGTTTTCCTATAGTGATACACACTATCACTAAGTTTGAAGTTTAAATCTCCAGTGGTTCTTGAGATATCATGATAACAATCTCAATGTATGGAATTTCATAAGTTGACCTCTGTGACCCTTGACCTTTGACCTACGTGCTCCAAAATCTAATCAGATTGTTTTCCTATAGTGATACACATTATCACTAAGTTTGAAGTTTAAATCTCCAGTGGTTCTTGAGATATAATGATAACAATCTCAATGTATGGAATTTCATAAGTTGACCTCTGTGACCTTGACCTTTGACATACGTGCTCCAAAATCTAATCAGATTGTTTTCCTATAGTGATACACATTATCACTAAGTTTGAAGTTTAAATCTCCAGTGGTTCTTGAGATATCATGATAACAATCTCAATGTATGGAATTTCATAAGTTGACCTCTGTGACCCTTGACCTTTGACATACGTGCTCCAAAATCTAATCAGATCGTCTTCCTATGGTGATACATACTATCCTTAAGTTTGAAGTTTAAATCTCAAATGGTTCTTGAGATATCGCGCTAACAAACTCAATACAAGGAATTTCATAAGTTGACCTCTGTGACCTGTGACCTTTGACCTACGTACTCCAAAATCTAATCAGATCGTCTTCCTATGGTGATAAATACTATTCCCGAGTCTTAAGTTTAAATCTTAAATGGTTCTTGAGATATTGTGATAACGGTCAAACGGGACGGACGGACGTACGGACGGTACTACTCACGACAGTATGCTTGTGAGATTTTTGTCTTGTGTGTCTGAAAAAAAGGGGTATCTTGTGTGTTTTCATTTTTTCCTTCTAAAGACTACTTGTGTGTCTTAATTCCCAACTTCTTGTGTGTTTGTCTAAAATTAAATGAAAATGCATCTTGTGTGTTTTTAATACAATATGTGTTGAGACTGGTTTTTAAAATTAAAATTAAGGCTTGTATGCCCAAAAGACATTATTGTCTACCTCTATCCAAGTCAGGAAAATTAAGCCTTGTGTCCCGCAAAAACACATCATTTACCCGCCTAAGTCGTGAAAATTGAGGCTTGTGTGGCAGAAAAGACGATCAGCTACCCTGTCCAAGACAAGAAAATTAAGGCTTGTGTGCCTAAAAAACTTGATGTCCGAAAAGTATACAACTATTTATTTGTGACTTTTGAATTCATGACCAAAAAATTGATTTATCTTTTTTCCTCATTGAATAGAAACATCACACACATATAATACAGGTAATGCAATAATATTCCAATGCTGTGGAGGAACCAATGAAAAGCCAAGGAGCTTGTCATGGCAGAAAGATTATTTACCCCTGTCCAAGTCAAGAAAATTAAGGCTTGTGTGGCAGAAAGACATTACATGTATTATATACCTCTGTCCAAGTCATGAAAATTAAGGCTTGTGTGGCATAAAAAAAAACATTACATGTATTATATACCTCTGTCCAAGTCATGAAAATTAAGGCTTGTGTGGCATAAAAAACATTACATGTATTATATACCTCTGTCCAAGTCATGAAAATTAAGGCTTGTGTGGCATAAAAAAACATTACATGTATTATATACCTCTGTCCAAGTCATGAAAATTAAGGCTTGTGTGGCATAAAAAACATTACATGTATTATATACCTCTGTCCAAGTCATGAAAATTAAGGCTTGTGTGGCATAAAAAACATTACATGTATTATATACCTCTGTCCAAGTCAAGAAAATTAAGGCTTGTGTGGCATAAAAAAACATTACATGTATTATATACCTCTGTCCAAGTCATGAAAATTAAGGCTTGTGTGGCAGAAAGACATTACATGTATTATATACCCCTGTCCAAGTCAAGAAAATTAAGGCTTGTGTGGCAGTAAGACATTATTGTCTACCCCTGTCCAAGTCAAGAAAATTAAGGCTTGTGTGGCAGAAAAACATTACATGTATGCCTCTGTCCAAGTCATGAAAATTAAGGCTTGTGTGGCAGTAAGACATTATTGTCTACCCCTGTCCAAGTCAAGAAAAGTAAGGCTTGTGTGGCAGAAAAACATTACATGTATTATATACCTCTGTCCAAGTCATGAAAATTAAGACTTGTGTGGCAGTAAGACATTACATGTATTATATACCCCTGTCCAAGTCAAGAAAATTAAGGCTTGTGTGGCAGAAAGACATTACATGTATTATATACCCCTGTCCAAGTCATGGATATTAAGGCTTGTGTGGCAGTAAGACATTACATGTATTATATACCCTGTCCAAGTCAAGAAAATTAAGGCTTGTGTGGCAGAAAAACATTACATGTATTATATACCTCTGTCCAAGTCATGAAAATTAAGGCTTGTGTGGCAATAAGACATTATTGTCTACCCCTGTCCAAGTCAAGATAATTAGGGCTTGTGTGGCAGAAAGACATTACATGTATTATATACCTCTGTCCAAGTCATGGATATTAAGGCTTGTGTGGCAGTAAGACATTATTGTCTACCCCTGTCCAAGTCAAGAAAACGAGGGCTTGTATGGCAGAAAGACATTACATGTATTATATACCTCTGTCCAAGTAATGAAAATTAAGGCTTGTGTGGCAGAAAGACATTACATGTATTATATACCTCTGTCCAAGTCAAGAAAATTAAGGCTTCTGTGGAAAAAAAAAATTACATGTCTGCATTTAAAGTGAATTTTGATGTGGAATTGGGAAATCTTAATGAATTTTGATATTTGGAATCTCAAAGTTTGTGAATTTCAAAGTTTAAATTCATCCAATGTACAGAAAGCCAGTACAGAAAGCCAGTTCTGTGGCATAAAAAAAACATTACATGTATTATATACCTCTGTCCAAGTTATGAAAATTAAGGCTTGTGTGGCAGAAAGACATTACATGTATTATATACCCCTGTCCAAGTCAAGAAAATTAAGGCTTGTGTGGCAGTAAGACATTATTGTCTACCCCTGTCCAAGTCAAGAAAATTAAGGCTTGTGTGGCAGAAAAACATTACATGTATTATATACCCTGTCCAAGTCAAGAAAATTAAGGCTTGTGTGGCAGAAAGACATTACATGTATTATATACCTCTGTCCAAGTCATGAAAATTAAGGCTTGTGTGGCAGTAAGACATTATTGTCTACCCCTGTCCAAGTCAAGAAAATGAGGGCTTGTGTGGCAGAAAAACATTACATGTATTATATACCTCTGTCCAAGTCATGAAAATTAAGGCTTGTGTGGCAGTAAGACATTATTGTCTACCCTGTCCAAGTCAAGAAAATGAGGGCTTGTGTGGCAGAAAGACATTACATGTATTATATACCTCTGTCCAAGTCATGAAAATTAAGGCTTGTGTGGCAGAAAAACATTACATGTATTATATACCTCTGTCCAAGTCATGAAAATTAAGGCTTGTGTGGCAGTAAGACTTTACAGCACTGGCTTTCTGTACATTGGATGAATTTAAACTTTGAAATTCACAAACTTTGAGATTCCAAATATCAAAATTCATTAAGATTTCCCAATTCCACATCAAAATTCACTTTAAATGCAGATATCCATTAAAATTCTCAAAATCACTTTGCCGATGGATTTTCAAAGAGGAGTATTGACAAAAAGAATATGTCACGTAACTATGAAGAATTTTTATTTCTTCAGAGGCAAAGTTGAGTATTTCATTATTTGCTAATGGAATACGTTTTACACATATCTGGAACTT